TTATTATTCTTTGCATCCCTAGCCAAGTTTAGTTCCAGCTGCGCCTTGGCCTTCCTGACCCCATTCCTACACAACCTGACCGCTTCCCTATACTCTTCCCAGGATGCCTGTCCCTGCTTCCACTGCCTGTGCAGTTCCCTCTTCCTCCTTAGTTTGACCAGCATCTCTTGTCTCAGCCATGCCGGTCTCTTCCCTTCTTTGCCTGATTTCTTACAGCTAGGGATTGAGAGCTTTTGTGCTCTGTGGACCACTTCCTTAAAGATCTGCCAGCTCTGCTCTGTTCCCCTGTCTCTGAGGACTGTTTCCCAGGGAGTTCTTCTGACTATCTCCTTGAGGAGCTGGAAGTTTGCTTTTCTAAAATTTAGGGTCCTGACTATACTCTTTGTTCTTGTCATTTCCCTTAGGAGCGTGAGCTCCACCAGCGCGTGGTCACTGCAGCCCAGGCTGCCTCCGATCTTGACATCTCCGACGAGCTCGCTTGCATTGGTGACCACCAGGTCCAGTATCGCATATCCTCAGGTAGGGGTGTCTATTACCTGGCTTAAGAAGTTGTCCTCAATGCATTCGAGAAACCTGCTGGATTGCCTACATCCTGCCGTGTTGGTTTTCCAACAGATGTCGGGGTGGTTGAAGTCCCCCAGCAGGACAAGAGCCTGAGAGCGCGAAGCCTCTGAGGTAAGCCTCTGAGGGTAAGGCTGTCAGAATTGGCAGTTTTGGAACTGGTTTTGGACATCTCATTTTGGACACTAGCTTGTTTCAGCTAACGAAGTCTATTCTTAATTTTGTATCTGTATTTTTTGTGCCACATTTTAGTATCTAGGAAAAGATGAGGGGCAAAGGTCTCTAAGATATTAAACTGAGTCAACTATAACTTCAGTGACTCACAATTACTGGTACTTTAAACCAGCATAGTAAAGAGTTTCTCAGACTCGCTCCTGCCTCCAGTGTGCAGTTCATTTCTGATGATTCATGGAATCAAAGAAACAGAGTTATACAGGGCCTCTGGAGGCCATCTAATCCAGTCACCCCCTTGAAGTAAAACTGTTACCAGCTCTAGATCAGGTCAGTCACGGCTCTGTCCAGCAAAGTCTTGAAAACTTCCAAGAACAGGGCTTCCACATCCCTGGGCAAATTGCCCCAGTTCTGCACCAACATCCCAGTGAACACATTTCTTCTAAGGTTTAGCCTGAATGTCTCAAGCTGAAAATTGTGACCACTGTCCCTTACTGCAGCATCTGGCACTACGAAGAACAGTTTGGCTTCACCATATTTACAATTGCCCCTCAAAGACTTGTAAACAGCTGTTCAATCATGCCTTTGTCTCTTTTTTGCCAGACAAACCCATTTGAGCTCCTTCAGCCTCTCCTCACTGGTCATGTACTCAAGGCCCCATGCCATCTGTACAGCTCTCTGCTGGACTGGTTCTGTCTTTTCCACATCCTTCTTGAAGTGGGGTACAAAAAAAATTGATCCAGTAGCCTCACTAGCCCTGAGTAAAGGGCTATAATAATAACAACTCTATATCTGTTGGCAAGGCTCTTTCTGATGTATTCCAGCACACGGTTTGCCTTATTTGCAGTGGTAGTGCACTGTTGCTTAGTATTCAATCTGACATCTACCATAACCCAGGGTCATCACCAGCAGCAGCAGCAGCATTTTCTCCAAACTTGGGCAATAAGACTCATTCTTTCAAAGCTACGCTTTGAAAGTTAAGTGTTTCTTTTGGAGTGAACACAGGGGCAAGACTTCTGAAGACCAAACTGGAACAATGCAGGCAGCTCTGGGAGGAGGAATGCTGGATAATTGCCTGCTTTTGGGCAAGGCATCATAGGCTGCAGTTTTGATGCTATGGCTAAGAATGAATACAAATCCAAATTATATGCTAAGTACTGATGCATTGTATTCCCATATTCCCTACTTGGTATTTTAAAGTGGCCCACACTAGCAAAAATCTCCTGAGACACAGTGATGGAGAAAACTCATTCCTTCTTCTGGGACATTGCTTCCACGCTACTAGGAACACTTTTTTACTTTAAGTGATTTTTCAGATTACACACATTTGATTGTCAAAACTATAACATTTCAGTTTCATTAGTATATGTAATTCATCTTCATATGCAAGAAGGGCATCTATTAGGGTAAAACAAGAAATAGAAAGCTAGATAATTCAAACCGCCCTATTTCACCCTTTAATCTCTCAAAAATGTACCAGAGCACAATCCAAAATTCATCAACTAACCAGGTATCAGAGAAACACCATTTAGATTCTTTGGAGGACAGAGTTATTGTATTCAAGAGCAACTGAATCCAGTGCAGTGCAGTGACTCCGAATCTATAGCTGACTGGGGCCATGCATTTCCAAAAAGCAGAGAGAAGGACATTTTTGGTTTTGAAAAAAAAAACCCAAAACAATAATAAACAACACTCTCCTCCCCCAAAACATCTACTTACCTTTGGCCCTCTTGATCCTGGAATTCTGGATCCACTTAACAGGCCAGTGCTACCTGATCCTTCCATGTCCTAAAGGAAGAGAAAAAATGCTACAGAATTTAAGCATTTATCTTCTTTTTTTCAACTGCTCTGTTTTCTGAGTCCTGTAAAAAAATGGAAAGATATGGAACACAAATATTTTTATCTGTCCTCATTAACCTTTTTTTGACCAATGCATGATCTTCTGGAGATAGGGTCCCCTCAACTGCAATAAGAGCATGTTGATCTTCCTTACGGAAACACTGGTCTTCACAGTCTTGCCAATTTGACACCGTTTCTCCAGCACTTCAGGCTGGACAGCATCAAGTAAAAGTGAGACAGCACCACAGTTTTAAGCATGTGCTATGCTTAAGCATGCTGTAGCAGTATTTTTCTGTTTAGCATTTACCTGCCACCTGGCTACTGAAATACTGTAATGACTAGTAAGGGTTACATAACTGATTTAAGGCAGGGAGAATTTGCAGGCAGTTTGTTAAGAGCAGTAATCTTTATTAAAAAATAAAGGTCCATCCTAATTCTCACAGTTAAATGTTGAATTCCTGCTTAAGATACAGCTTACTGAAATTAAATTGAGCAGAAAAAAATATTCTAACACAAAATTGTGGAATTAAATATGTTGGAAGGGATCTCAGAGGCTGCCTAATCCAACCTCCAGTTGAAAGCAGCATCAACACTGAATTCAAATCATGTTGTTCAGGGCTTTGTCCCCTCAAGTCTTGGAACCCTCCGGAGATGGAGGTTGTGCAACCTCTCCAAGCACCTGTTCCAACATTTGGCTGTTATCAAGGTGAAAAATATTTTGAGACAGAACCCCCTCTGTTTCAATTTATGATTGTTGTTGCTCATCACTCTGTGCACCACTGTAAAGATCCTGGCTATGTGTCTTCTCTTTTTAGATATCAGAAAGCTGCTAAAATGCTTAAAGCCCTCTCCAGACTAAGCAAGCTCAGCTCCCTGAGTCTTTCCTCATAGGTCACGTGCTCCATCTGACTGACCATTGTCATAGGCCTCTGCTGACTTCAGAAATATCTCTATGAAGTGGAAGACCTTGAAAGCAGCATCCATACTTCCTGTGGAGATTTTCTAGGGGTTTTAAAGGAGACTGCTCAGAAAGCAGCAACCTCCCTCCAGCTCTCGTTGTTCTGACCGCGACATTCCAAATCCCTGGCAGAACCAGGACCTGCCAGTTCCAAAGCAGCCGAAGAAACAAAATTGCAGGCTGCCGTAATTATCTGCTTTGCTCCTAGAATCATCCCAGACACATGTTCCCATCCCTTGTGTTATGACAAATCAAGAACTTGTCAGACTGTGCTTCAAACGACCTGGATGAACAGGAAACTGTTCACTTGCTTCGAGCTGCAGTTTTAAATGCAACTGTGGTGGCTTAATTGTTTCCTTTTTCTGAAAAGAAGAAATCTTGATCTTTCTTCGCTCCACTTCCCTGTTCACAGCCATACATTCATTTTCAACATGAGTGCCACGTGTTGAATCCTCTCACTTTCCTATGAGCCACTTTAAATCACTAAAATGGCAGAAAATACATTACTTTTTGGGAGTGGGATGGTTCTCTAAAATGTTAGTAAATTAAATTGGCTTGTGGAAGGATTGATGGAACACTGGATGTTAGTGCATGTGAAGGGCAGACGTGCCAGTAATGGCTGCAGATGGGAGGAGGAGCAGGAGCAAAGCAGACTCTCCACCTCTTAGTGCCAATGAGCCCTTGTATCAGTGTATCATGTTTAGAGGACTCATACTCCTTGCCTGTGTAGCTTTCTGCTAGTTAGTGACTTGAAATGGCTCAGATTACCATCGGTCTGATGCACTCTGGAGATGGTGTAAGAGAAAGGGTGGAAGACCAATTAGATGAGCTTAAGCTGCTATGGAATGACAGCTTAATGCTGAAGTTGTGGAAAATATCAACTGATCTCACTCCAGTGAGTTTGCCCTTTTCCACCAACTCCACGAGAGCAAGAACAAGAGAAGCAGAAGGACTGCACAGCTGGAATCAGGTCCTTCCTTTCGGGGACCAAAGTGGGAGACATTAAGTCATCAGGTTGGCTGAAGTCCTTTCATGTAACTTCACCTGAGACTAAATGTTATTCAGACTTTCATTTTGCTCCTCCATCAGCTATCAGTGTATCAAATATCAACAGAAAATATGCTGATTTTCTCTTTGGCCTGTTTAACCAAACACTCACTACCTAGGGTAAACCACAAGCTGTGTTTCTGGGTCCTTCTTTCCCTTGCCTCCACGGTACCAATATATTTTTCCCTTTAAGAGAGTGCTTGATGGCTGCTTTATATAACACACCATTGCTTTTGACATCTGCATGTTTTTCATGGGTTTATCAGGTACCTTCTGCAGCTCAAACTGTTCTTTTGGCAAGCATAAGTGCCAGCAAACCCCCATGCCATTTGGTTTTTACACATAGCTGATCACAAATGCTAACAAGTGCTAACAGGAACGTTTTGCAGAAACAGCCTTACAGCAATAAACAGACTGCCAACCAAAAGGTAGTGTTGCCCTAACGAACTCATAGACCACAGTGCTGTCTTAACAGATGGCAGGGGGGGGCATCCAAAAGATCAGCTAGAACTAGCAAGCCTGTTAACGGTGGTATTCCTCTCAGGGAAATGACAATCGTGCCAATTCTGTTTGGATTAGATGGAGTTCAAGATGAAGCCAGTCATCTGTTGCTGCTGTTAGAGCTGGAATCCTTCTGTGTTTGTGTCCATAAAAGTGGGGACTTCCAGTTTTCACTCTCTCCTGCTCATCTGCTAACTTTCTTCTTCTGAGACTTAGGTATCAGAAGTGACAGCATTTGCCCCCACTACCTGCAGAGGAACTCTTTGGTGGCATAATGAGGCAAAGTTGGCTTCTATTCACATAGTATGAATGGGGAAGAGTGAAAATCTCATAATACTGGATCCTCAAGGGTCACAGAAGATGACTGTAAGTCAGAGAAGCCATCATCCTGGGCTAAAACTCAGACCAGACCTAGGATGAAGATGTGGCTTACCAGTAGTCCTTACCTCATTCTGAGACAAGTACATATCTATCCAGGAGAGCAGCCTTTATAGTGTGCCTAAGTTAATGTAATGGAGTGTTTGTATGCTTAGACTTTATGCTGTTCCTTGCTAACAATTGCCGTGCTGGCAATTAAGAACTTGTGAAGTGCTGCAGAGATTTTTTCGTCCATTGAAATCCACTGACATCAGTTAGTTTATTAACCAGTAGCGTACATAGTGAAATACTGTTTTGTCAGACATCAGAAATCAGAATATGTCTTTAAACAAGCATTAGTGGTCATCTCTGTACTTGGAGTACTCAAAGTGTCTCTAGAGTAAAGAAGAGAGAAATACAAAAGGGGTAGTGTAGACACTAGGAGAAACATGTGTGAGTAAACTGGAATCTTTTAAACACCACCACTTTACTGCAGCAGTTCTACAGATGGCCAGTAGTTTTGCTCAGACATTGCTTACTTCTCTGATGAAATTACCCTCTGTTTCTATGGAAACTTGTATTATATCCCATGACATAAAAAAATGAAAACTCTGAAAAGACTTTCCTGAGCCAAACAGCTAAATTAGAAATGAAAAATGCATAGAAAATAAAAAAAGGGAAGACTCATAGGTGAATATTGATGTAGGCAATTTGTCAGTCTCTCTTCACAGAGATATTAATGCAGCAGCTCTAGTTCTTGAACCTGAGTGTTCTCCCTTTGCCTTTCTGTACTGCATAGCCACTTTCTGCTCCAAAAAGTTCATCTGAATGAGCAGTTCTCAAATGACACATAAAACTCAGTTTGAGCTGGCCAGATCTCATATTCTAAGTGGTGAAGGTATTATTTTCAGAAATAGAAGGAGTAGCAGCCACAATATTTTTTTTTATAGAACATTTTTCTTCTGAGTAGAACAGATCATGAGGTCAGAAATGTCCAACATCTGTCTTTGTATTTACACATTATGTAAGTGACATGCCTAAACTAAACCCGTGGCCTCAAGAATGACAGCATGAGAAAAGACATAGCTTAAGGGGGACCTGCAGTTCGATTTTAATGAATACTGTCAGGCATCTATGTATATTTAGATCATTGCTCTAAATTATTTACATGAAAAAAAAACCACTAGAGAAGTTAGTCCAGTAGTATTTTATATTAACAATTATATAAGCATCAAGAATTAGCATCTGAACACTGTTACTACTGAACAGTTTAATGAATAAGAAATCAATTACTTCCATGGTCTAAGCATGGTCAATTATATGATCAAATGTAAAAGGAATTGTAGGCTACTCCTAGGCAAATTTCAATCTGGAGCAAATGACTTTATCTGTCATCAATTCAGCTTTAAATAGCTGTGAAATATACAGGTGATTACACTCTCCCTCCTCTGAAGGAAGCAGACCCTTAGCTATGGTAAACCCCATAATAGCAAAATACCTCAAATCCGAAACTGTAACTTAGTCCTGGGGGTCCAGGAGGTCCAGGGGGCCCAGGAGGTCCTGGTGGTCCAGGTTTCCCAGGAGACCCAATAGCACCAGCTTCTCCTTTGGGGCCTATTGATCCAGTGACTCCAGTATCACCCTAAAATAAAAGGTCAGTCTATTGGTACACTGAACATGCATAAGTGGATGCAAATAAGTAGAATCATAGAATGGTTTGGGTTGGAAAGGACCTTAAGGATCACCTAGTTCCAACCCCCCCGCCATGGGTTAGGGATACCTTCCACTAGACCAGGTTGCTCAAAGCCCCATCCAACTTGGTCTTGAACACTCCCAGGGAGGGAGCATCCCCCGATCATCTTCATAGCCCTCCTCTGGATCCGCTCAAGCAGATCCATGTCTTTCTTATGCTGGTGGCCCCAGAGCTAAACACAGTACTCCAGGTGGGGTCTCATGAGAGCCGAGTAAAGGGAAGAATGACCTTCCTCAACCTCCTGGCCACACTTCTTAAAGAAGTACTTTGGCCAACTGAGAAGTCAAGTTTGCTGACTTCATAAGTTTTCACAATCTTTTAGACTTCTCAGCCCTTTTCAGTAGTGTGCTGTATTAGAGTGATACTGTTATCCCATAAAGACTTCTTTTTTACCTTTGGACCAACAGAACCAGGAAGACCTTGATCACCCTGTAAAAGAAAATAAATCCTAATTACTTACAGTAAGAGCATAAGACAGGCAAACCCCCCACATTTATAATATTTTTGCTTAATTGAAATACCCACAGATTTCTGTGTTGTTTAATTTGATGTCATAATGTCCTTTGTATGAAACATTAGATCTCTTAGTTAAAAAGAAAACAAACTATTATTCAGGAGTTATAATAACAAATGAATAGCTATGGTCTGATATGCAGACAGGATGCAATTTTGTATTTCAATTATTGCTGCAGATTTCAAAGGTCTGGAGCACACAGAATTAAGCATTATGGGTCACATCCTCATGCTTCTGAACTTAAATATCAAAACTCTCATGGGATATAACAGAAGCAGAAACTGATCCCACACAAGTTGCCTAGGGCACAGTTCCAAACAAGGGATATGATGACTAGTATGATTTTAAGGCTCCTCTGCAGCAATCTAGCTATTTGGTTTGCTTTTAGATACTTTATTTAGACACTGGTTTTTCCAATTCTAGTTCATGGAATAGACAGAAAGTCACAGCATGCAAATACTTCTTTTCTAAATTGCACTGAATCTAACAAAATTAATCATTATATTGGCAAGCTCCTGTCCTTACTCATTCAACGGAAATATTGCTTGAGTAAGATCTGAAAAAATAAGTAAGCACCAGGAGTAAAATGATAATGATGTTTTCTTCCCAAAGCAATGGCAAAAAACCACATTGAATTTTGCTCCAAGGAACAAATTGACTTTACTTTCAGTGCATCCTGCAGTTTCTCCCTGTAATCGTCTCTGGATTAACGTGGAATAGTGATTAAAAATAGATATTGTGATAAAAATTAAATCAAGGTTTTCAGAACAAATGAATAGTAGAAATGGAAAAAGCCTATTATCCCAAGGTGCTGGGGATTGTATTGAGCAGGTGCAAATATGTAGTGCTTCATTTCTAATTAAACGTTTATCAAATATACACAATGCAGAAAACGGGCTCAGTGCAGCAAAACATTTAAGATTTTGTCCTTTTTGGGGGGATTATGCCCTTTTTTTAAATTTAATTTTTCTTCCAATTCCTTGCCTTTCCAGATCAGTCTCTTCCTACAGTATGTGCTTCAGGTTCAGTTTCATTCAGCTAGACTTCTTTCTATTCTTAGACTCCTTTATGCAAAACACATACCACTGATTACAATGGACACAAGTTTTGGATGCCTGCTTTGTAACATGCATACTGCATTTTCTGGATAGCTGTTAGTTCCCATGTGAATTGCAGTTTTACCAGCCTCGGGCTTTTGAAATCACAACTCAGATTCCCCAGCCTCCAGAAGAGATTTTTAAAAAAATCTTGTGATTTAGTAAATAAATAAACAAACAAATAAGTAAATAAAAATATTCCGGCCATTTAAGACTCGTCTTTTCATTTCCCTTACAGTATGTGAGCTTTCAATGTACACGTGGGAATACATTTCAAGTTCTTGTGTATAAAGTGTGGTATAGAAGCTCACTAGAGGATGAAATTTTCCTGTAGTCTTTGTCTCTGCCTTCTCCATATCCTTCTTGAAGTGGGGTGCAAAAAAATGGGTTCAGTATTTCAAACACAGTCTCACTAGCCCTCATTAAAGGGTTATAATTATATCTTTATATCTGTTGGCCATACTTGTGTCTTTTTGCCAGATTAAATGGTTTGAGCTCCTTCAGCCTCTCCTCATTGGTCATGCACTCAAGGCAGGGGCCATCTCCATAGTTCTTTGGTGTAGTGTCTCTGTCTTCTCCACATCCTTCTTGAAGTGGGGTGCAAAAAAAACGGATGCAGTAATTTGGGGAAACTTGAAAAGAGTGGCAATTTTGCAGTATGTAGGTTTTGGTTCTATAGCAATACAAGAAAATCTGTCCGCTGGATGTTATGATCCCTTGCTTTCATTTACATGTTCCTCACTCCTTCCCTTTTGCTGGACATAATGCTCATCTAATCATGCATGAAGCCAACCAGTGCAGCAAGTCAACAGAAAACGAAGTAACCCTTTGCTGCCAGGTCAGGATGCTGAAATGCCTCATCAAGGGGTGAGTGAAGGCTGGAACTGCCACAAATGTCAGGGTGGAACATCATAGCTGGGGGCTGCAGCAGTGCAGTAGACAGCAGTTAAGACAAATACAGGCTGCTGCAGAAGTCTACAAAACGTGATATGTCCATGGCCCACAGAACTTAAACTTAAGCAATTCCAGTTGCCCTGGTATACACACATGCCACAGAGGGTGCTTTCTGCAGGGAATATGCTGTCAGTCTGCACCAATCTGGGACAGCTGGAGCTCTTTACTTCCCCCTACAGACTCACCTTCAAGAGTCCAGTCATAACTGGCATTTTACTGGCGAATCACAACAGAGTAGCTCATATTGCATTTCGAATATTGCATGCTGCAGAAAATGAGACTGTACCCAATAGGGAATTCTGGATTTCTGAATACACCTTTTGAAATGTGTTCTAATAAGCCATTGGCAGCTGGATTCAATTAAAAAAAAAAGAAGCCAGCCAACACTTGTTGCAGGGACAAGTATTTATGATTTTTACAGCCTAGAATTGACAAAAATTTTCCACTGAAGTAGGAGCAAGACAAACGTTTAACTTACCTTTTGTCCCTTCTGTCCTGGTGGGCCAGCCACTCCATCAGGACCAGGAGGACCTTGAGGACCCTGTAGATGATAGTAAATGTAAAGCAAATGCCACCTGAGAGCCCTTTTCCTAGCACACGCATGTAAGATACAGCATTATGAAAGACTAATGTGTAGCACCAGGTAGCACCTAACACCATTAAGTTCTAACATTTGTATTTCTTGTCTTCTGAGAGTTTGACTTTGTATCAAAACAGTATTTAAATATATTTTATAGAAAACTATATCAAACAATCACAAAATAATAATAAAAATATAAACCATCATAATGTAAATATAAAGTTAGAAGGCAAAATAATGCTGCTATCAGAGCAGGTTTTGACAACACTACTACAGATGCAAAGGGGTTGAAATCCCCATCTACACTTTTAGCAACCTCAGTGCCAGACGAGAGCTAGCTGAGAAAACATTGATATTGACAAAGTCAGAAAGCAACCCAGGCTCACTTCAATTTTGCCTTGAAAAATGTATATTTAGTTCTCCTCCTGATTTTCTGTGTTGTATCCAACACATTGCATCCATTTGACTGAGCAGCCAGGCTGGGAAGAACTGGCTTTGTAGAGTCAACCAGTCAAACAATACAGGTACTGAAGTCTAGCCCACAGTAACCATACATGCAAGGAATGGAACAGTTACATGCATATTTGCATGCCTTATGTTTTTAAAATTGGACTCTGAAAGCCTTTAATGAAGTTTATAGGTGTGCATTCTGTCCTCTGAGAACTTTTTATCCATTTATTTATTCATCTGTTTTGGGGAAGGATATAAATGGTTGCAGAAGGAGCTAGAGAACTTTTTCTCTGGTGTTTTCAGAATGGTCACAAAGGCCTCATTTTCCCTGCTCTCCATACCTTTTTCCCGCTGTTTTTGCCTTTTGGATGCACTCTTATTTTTCAGATATGCTGCAAGTTTATATGCGTTTTGGGTTTTTTTGTATCTTAAGCATGAAAAGCAGTTGATACTAGTTTTGATCACTGTATCACATGCTGAAGCTGACTGCCTGAATGTGGTTATTACAGTTTTTTTTAATACATTTTTAATTTTTGCTTGCCTTTTATTGATTCCATACTGTCTTTGTATTCTTTTTACAATTTTTATCCTCTCTTATGGGAAAATATGCCTGGTCATAAAGCAGACTGCTTCTGATAGTAAGCCTTAAGATGCTAATCATCCTCATTTTACTGATAAATGATTATCAGTTTCAAATATATGAGCGCTGGGGAGCAACACAGTCTGAATTAGAGAACAGAAGACCTCCAATTATTCTCCAAGGATATTGTGGTTCTGAAGATACTGTGGTTCTGAGAAATGTTAACAAAATAGGCATTTTCATGACAGGTCTCTGCAGAACATTTTAGAACACTTGATACTCTCCTAACTCCCAGAGGACACGATTTTTTCTTTAGGTTTAAGCCAGTCATTCAGTGACTAGATATGATTAGGAATAGTTTACCTTTGAAAAATTAAAATAAAAAATAAGGAAATTAAATAATTGAAAACAAGGAAAGACTGGCCAGGCACTGCATTTATGTAATAAATCTATGCCTTTTTCCTGGTTGTATTCTAGAAGGGCGTCTCTGTGCTTAAAGTGAGACAAACAGTACAATGAAGCATATGCCTAAACCACTGCAGTGCCATGGTCTTTAGTACTTGCAATTCTCGTAGTCTGAAGTATTCACAGCACTTAGTGGAAAACATTTAAGGCACATCTTAAAAAAACCCACTTCAAGAAGTTTGTTATTACTCTCCAGCAACGTTATAGTCTTGAAATGTAATTGGACGTCTAGTAACATTGGGAATCCTCCCCACAGTCAGGTGAGAATCTCAGCTTTTAACTGAAATAACAAGTTTCTAGCTTTTGGTTACAAATGGACAACCCACAAACATGAAAACGTGTTTGTCAGAGATCCTAAATTTCACAACCCAAACAGCAAATAAAAAGGACTCAGTCTCACGAGGCTGATCTCATGGATTCTCAGCAAAGCTTATAATTTTAGGGAAATAATAACAGGACAATAAAAAAATGAATACATAAAGCAAGTAAGCAAGCTCTGTCCTGGAGTCAAGTACTGTGATAAAGACAGTAACCTATCCAGTGCTGGTCCGGGCTATGTTCATGGATGAGCTCCTCATCTCCTTCTTTCACTGCTGGGGAGGGTCTGGCATATTGTAAAGGAGTTTGAAAAAGGCTGGCTGGTCTGTGGAAACTTCTTCCCTTTGCAATCAATGCAGAAAACATCCAGGAAGGACTGATAGGCCGTGTGTACGGCAGGATAAGCAGAACACAGGGAAGCCGCGCTAGAAGTGTGGCCACTGTGCAGGACACTGGAGAGCTGTTGTCAGTCCACCTAACTAGACCATAAGGTTCAGGTCTTAATTCCTTAATTAAAGCAATTAAGAATAGGAAAGAATCCAAAATGGTTTCCTGCTATCATAGCCTTTGGGTTGTTAATGGCAAGTTTCCTCATACCTAGTGGGGCAAGTGTGCTCTCAATACATCTTTTTGTCTTGCTCCCTACATCCTCTAGAACAGACACTTCTTTCCTTCCCAGTCATTGGGATTTTCTTGGAAGGAAACCATGCTGTAAGAAGGATGTAGGTGGAAAGGCACTGCAGGCAGCTGCAAACTATCCTTTTACGCTTTCAGGATATGATAAGGTCAGCAATCTAAAACACAGAAGCACATCCAGGCCCTGCAGTTTAGACATGTTTAATGAGACAGAAACCACTGGAGCTCCAGGGACATTTAAGGATTTTCCTTGCAGGATATGTCAGGAGTACATTAAATTAGCCTGTGCAGGTTGTCACTGTTGTTGTAGCAGCATGAAGTTCAGTGCAGGCCAACCTTGTTGGTTTTGTGATGGGCAGGCTCTGAGCTCCATGCTGTTGCATGAGCACTGTTGACTACTCCCACACTTACCTGGAGTCTACAAGATCTGGCCTAGGCTACTGTAACTTCAGGACAAACATGTCCTGAGTGCATCTTGTTGTTGGATCAGAGGCTAACTGTAAATAGCACTGAGAACAAACCATTGAGAATACAGAACATGATCTTACCACAGTTACTGCATAAAACCATTGAAAAATCCATTGATAATTTCTAGAAAGCAAAGAGTAACAGAAGAAAGCAAAATTTTTACAATATATTAATTTAATAAATGTTTTATATTTATTTTCAAATTTAAGTCAGTGACACATTTCTAAGGATCTGGACTACAACTGTTAATTATGGTGCAACCCAGTTGTCTAAGCTCCTTTGCATACACAGAAGAGGCCTTTTCTGAAACATGTTAGTGAAAAGCCTGGATGAAAAATACAGATTTTTGTCCCTACTTCTGTGGGACCAGGTTATTTCACCTTAGCAAAGCATCTTATTAACAGGCCAGAACCACTAACTGCCTTATCAATCACCTGTAAAATTGTAAAACAAAAACATTTCAATTAATAACCAAGCAAATACTCAAAACACAGCCAAAGCACTTGAGTGCAGCAAATGCTGAAACTGTGTGTAGCTCAGCAAAACAATGGCCTATGTACAGATACATCTTCTGCACTCTGTTTATCAAGGCTTTAATTTAGTGAGGTTCATAGGGATACAATTTATTCCAAGAGGGAACACTCTGAAACTCTGAAGTCCAAAAATTACCCTAATTTCTGACATGTGTTGAGTGGATACTCTGTCTTGCAAGGACCTAAACTTGGATGAACAAAAGTTTGTGATGTTTATACTTCCTTGTAGCCTGAGAGAATGAGACTCAGCTCCTGAGAGAAAAGGACTAGTTTTCAAGATAGGGCTCTGAGGTATTGGATCGAAGTACTTCCTTGCAACTCTAAGTGAGATATCATATATATAATTCAGGCTATTCTCAGCATTTCTCTGCAGGGTAGCTACATCCTCAGCTCTCGATTTTCATTTGCTTCCCATGCACATTCTTCTCTGATCCCATTTTAAAGATTTTTCAGGTGCTTTATTTCTCTCTGCACAAAGGATGTTGTCTTCCACTTCGATGGCCAGACACTTAAAATTTGCTGTACCCACCTTTTTAGATCTTCAATTAATTCCTGACTAGGTTATCCTCAAAAAAACCCAAGCTCAGCTGAGATGCAGTAAGATCTCCTCTTTAACATGTGTCACAAATACACTCCATTAATATTTGCTAATTATGCCTTGTCAGATATAGCAATGGTGACCCACTTTGAATGGTGAACATACAGATCAAATCTAGGCCTGGGAAGAACTGGTACTGCCAGATGGTTGATAGGGAATAAGGGAACCATATTAGTAAATATATTTCCAGAGAGGATTCACAGAGCTGATCAATGCTAAAAAAATTGTTTTCTTCACTGAAAAAACATTTTACTGAGGATTTATTAACAAACAGGTAACACTCAAACTTTTAGCAATGCTTTTTACAGTAGAACTCTATTTCACATGTCCACAAGAATAAATTTTCTACCTAGCTCAAGAAAAAGAAGGAACAGAGTTCCTGAAAAAGGAAAATTCAATTTATGCTAAAAATTCCCTGCAAATTCTAGAAGTGATTTAGCAAACTTCATTTTACTGGAAGCACCACAGGAAAAATAATCCTTAGCCTTATTCAGTGCTGGTAAAAACATCCTTACTTTTTATTTATTCTAGTCCAGATTCACCAGCCTCTGTCTGCCAAATGTACATCCTGCTGTGGAGTGGCTTTGGTTAACTGGACATTTATTTTGTCACTTTTTTGTAAAAAATGTGCGTGAAATCAAGCTCTTAAATTACAAATATTCTTCAATATTATTAAGAATTATACAGACTGTAAGCCTTAAAACTTAGTGTTATAGGCCAGAAACAACATTAATATTTGTGCACAAATGGGTACTTACTTCAGGGCCTGGTTCACCAGAAGCTCCATCTTCCCCTGGTGACCCAGGAGGTCCTACACGTGAGTCAGTTCCTGGCTTTCCTGGAAGACCAGGCAGTCCTGGAGGGCCTGGTGGCCCAGGAAGACCCTGGATAAATCAGCAGCATTGTTAGAAATGGCCCTAGCCAGGTTCATGTCATATATGGAACAGGAAAAGCTCACATGGACTCTTCAGATTCATAAAACTCTCAGCTTGGGTTACCATCTCTCTTCTGCTTCATTAAGAACCAATTTTAGTTTCACAGATACATTCCCTACATAGGGTCAGACTGACCTCCTCCATCCTTGCTCTCTGAATTGTACTACCTCATGGCATACAACAGCAGTCAGAAAGTTAAAAACTAAAACATTCTGTGTCAGCTCTCTGTAACCCAGTAAAGACCTTAGAGATATCCCAGTGATCGACGTAATGTTAAGACACTTAACCAAAATGAGATCAAGGGATCACTGAACAGAGGGAAGGGGATAGTTTTTTCTCAAGTAATTTCAAAGGGTTTTTCCATGCTATTGCTGGAGCATTGAGAATCTGTACTCATGGTCAAGAGCTGACTGCTTAGTGCTGTGAAAATTGCCTCTGCTCCAAAGATCTGTCCTGCGTGGACATGAGCGGATCTATTTAAATTTAATAAAATGAATTAAATGTTACTTTAGGAGAAATAGTATATTTGCAAATATTCTCTCTCATGTGCAAGTCCATCCTTATTACTGATTGCATCAGCAGGCAACATGGACAGTTTGAAATTTTGGGGCACGGCACTTGAAGACAAGAACTCTTTAATTCTGAGTTAGGGTCATCTACAGGATTCTCTTAGGAAGGTGGTCATCTTGGATTTTCAGTACAGTCAAGAGAGCCTTCTGCAGGGAGCCATTCCAACACTCATCTGTCTCGTTAATTACATAGGGCATCTAAAGAGGCAAGACAACTAACTTTCAGCATGTGGCAATACCGTCCTGAAGAGCCTTGGGAATAAGGTATTCAGCACTTTGGAGGAAAGAAGAAACAGAAAAGAAGTCTTGAGACAGAAATCAGTCTGAGAAAATGAAAAATATCACTAGAAGTGTTGCAAAACAGAGGCCTCAGAAAGCTATACCATTCTGGAGTTTATAGGAGACAGACATCCAGGGAGTTCATTCCCCAGAAAGCTGCGGTCTTATTGATGAAACAACTTCTAAACAAAAGGTGGAAATGCCGCATCCCAAAGACTGCATGAAAGATTACTTCTCACTCCATCTAGATGGATCAATAAAAGTCGTCTCATTTATGTCTCTTCATCTTCAACCACTTGACTTCTCATTTTCCTAACTTTATCTGTAACACCTCGCCTGATTCATTATATATCTGGTTCTGTGGATGGAAAACCACATTATTTGCAACTGCTATATATATTCTATCGAATGCTACTTGGATTTTCAACAGCAAGATGGTAAAAGTAGATCTGTCTGACTGTCCAGAGATAATGGGTGAAGAAGTGGCTCAAGAATAAAACAAAACATACAATAATTCCAGATCTGGCAGCAAGTTCTAGTTAATTGATGCTATTTTTCCCAAAAAAGGCACATTGTTCTGTGCAGGTTGTATAGGAATGATAACCTCATCTCTGAAAAAAAATAGTCCAGCAAAAAATAAGTAGAAAAAAATCCCCACTCCAAATATTTCCATTGCCACTCAACAGCTCAGAAGCAGAGCAAGAAAAACAAGCCAGATGCCCCATTTTTAATCCAGAACCATGCTCATCTGAGTACTGTCTCTCATAATACGTCAACTCTCTGTGAAGGGAAAGCACAAGACCAATGCACCAATTCAGTCCGTAAAACAAAGCTTACTTGAGGCTCTTGACACATAATTCTAAGAGTGACAGACTAAGCTAAAATGTTAAACCAGTACTCATCATCCCACTTGTTCTGCTCTGTTCCTGGAGTCTGCTGATCCCAGGCACAGCTGAAAGCTTGTGAATCAGCTGCATCTTACAGCACAGCCTACTGAAATGAACTGAAACTGATGCTGACTTTCCTGAATATTACATCTGCAAAACTAAGTAGTTTAGTAGATTTACAAGCCGTATAAGCTCTTTCTGAAGCTGAGATAGACACCTCCAGGAGAAGGATGAGGTGAAGGTCTAATGCAGCAACTGCTTTGACTGTCCCAGTTTAACTAATGGACAAGTGTACATTAACAGACCAAGACTCACGTTTACTAGCATCAATACTCCTTCCCAATGGCAGAAGTCTGGTCTCCCATGTTACACATCCCAGAGAACCTCATTCAGGAACATGTGCATCAAAATCTTACTAATTTTCACTAAGACAAAGCATCTCTCTCTGCTAGCCAGCCTTGACGTGACAGCGTTACAATTCTTCACAAAGGCAAGGATACAGGGAAGTTCAAATGACCATCAAAATGGATCAGCAGTGGAAGTTGCAGTGTAAAGTATTTCATACAGACGTACTGATTTTTTTAGAACAGGTATCCAAATTTAAAAAGGAAAGAATAGTATCATTCCCATCTCTCTCCTCTTTATTGTCTTCTCAGAATAAGATTAAAAGCATTTTCTCATTTTAAAAAGTCCTCTTGCCGTTATTTCTTTGTTGTCCTCTTTCTTTCTCACACTTCTTCCCCAATCCCATACACTTCAGCCATTCCAGATCTTGAAATGAAGCCCTGCAAAGCATTTCTGGATGCTGTGATTTAAGCACGTACAAAATTTGCATTGTGTCTACCATCTGGAAAAGTAAAGTAAAGCTCTTTATTATGCTAATGAGAAATAAACTTCAATATATACTTACTCTTAAGACCTCAGTCTCTCCATCAATGTCTCCAGAACCCGATCCTTCAGGTTCCACTCTATTCTGAAATTAGGAGAATGCTGTTCTAAAATATTACTTCTTAAGATGACAAATGAAAATATCACTTGCCAATTACTGCAAATACAGTTATAGTCCTGTAGTTATATCCTTGCAGCAGACTGTCACTGGTGAAATAAACTATAATACAACAAAAATATTTCAATCATGCTTCTGGTGTTTCATACCATTGTATTTTGTAGACACTCAGCTTTATATTTACCTGCAGATGCTCTTTGAATTCAGTGACAACAATCCTGCATGACACACATGCTATCTGACTGTTTAAGTGAACTGAAGATAAAGCAACACCTCAGACAAATTTTAACTTTGGAAATATACCTGTCAAAATCAAGAATATCCTAAAAACCATGCATAACAGATAGCCACTGTTTCCTAGAGTGTGCCTCTTAGTTCAAAAGCCAAAGTCTGAGATTCCTACAGCTGGAATCCGAAGAGGCATTTTATGAAGGGAAATTAATATCCTAAAGAATTTTCTAAAATATTTTGTTAGAAAAACAGTTTGGTTTTAGTATTGCAATCTAGTTGTACCCATCTATAAGACAATTTCATAGTTTCAAGCTTCTTCAGCTTCAAACCATCTTCCTATATTATGGAACCTATAGTGCAGCCTATAGTCAGTATACATACTGCCAAAGAATTTTTTAAAACCTTTGAAGAAAAAAAAGCATTTTTCATGGAAAATTTGCCATGATTTGTCTGTATAGTATATATAGAAAAGTGAAATGAAGTCCAGTTATCCATTTTTTTAAATTATAGAACTTAGTATAAAAGTTTTATAGAACTCATAATTTTAGAAATTAAAAGGAATAAATCAAGATGTGCAACAAACGAACTCGGCAATTGAAATATGACTTTTCTACATGTGTGAGTTCCACCACATTTAAAATGAAATAATGTCAGCTCATATAAAAGTAAATTAACTATAGATTCCCATTGCAAGTTCTTAATGAGTTTCATAGCTGCGTATGCTTTGTAAACTACAGCCCAAAGTACACCAAGAACTAGCACCTGAATCAACTATAATAGTACCAAAGCTATTGTTTCAAAAGCCCAGGAGTCAGGGATGCATTCCCTGGCTCCACTGAGACTTCTTTCACTTCACTCCAGAACAAAAGGCTTTGAAACTTGCTGTCACAGACAACAAGAAAGTAAAGGTGGTGCAGGACCTGGTGTTCACTGTTACATTTAGAGAAATGGTCTTTGGGTGAGAAAAGCTGTTGGACTGGAGCACTTGTCCTAGTGATCTCTTGAAGTCAGTACCAGTAGAGGCTAAATAGTGCAGTCCTTCATAACACTGTTGCTCTATTTTTATGCTACAGAAACAGATTGGTGTAATTTATCAGACCCTACATCAGGGGAGCATATAGTTCATTTTGGTCACCAGTATAAGTTGCAAACTATCTTGCTAAATACTCACAGTACTCAGTCTGACAGATAGTTTTGTTTAAAAGATCACCACAGGACTTTGTGTGGTGTCAGTGGTGGGCCATGTCTATGTGTAAAATCAGCTCCCACACCATGAATTGAACATTCAGGCCAGATTCCTTCTTCAGCTGCGTACACATCTAGCCTCGTGGAAACAGTGCGAAAGGTCCAAGTACAGAAGAGAGATGAATCTGAAACATATTCTTTAACATTGCCTGAGTACTGAGCATTCAAAATATGAACATTGTCACCATGCTGGTATGTGTTGTGGTATTTAATGGCAGCAAACGTAAGTGACTGTCAAACCATTTCTGTGTTCAGTAGTGGGAAGAAATGAATAATTCAGGTTTATAATGCCTTTTTGAGGAAATTTTTATCTCTTGTTCTCCCATATATTATTGCTTTTGCACAGGAGAACACACACATTGACTGGCTTTTTAAAATACGAATACTGGGTGTTTATGTAGATTACAGTACTCACACACTTTAGCCAGACATTTATGTTCATTTCTGCATGAGTGTTATAGAAAACATGATTACCTCTGTGGCAGTCAGGCTACTTTCCCTGAGAAAACCTCCTATTTAGTTCTGGATTCCTCTATGGCAAGCTGAGCTCATTGACAGAGAACCCCAAATACTTACTAATCCTCTGGAAGGAGCAGATGGTCCTGTGGGTCCTGGTAGTCCAGGGGGTCCTGGCAATCCCTCACCAGCATCACCCTAAAACAGGAATGAAGATAAAACAGCAAGGATTTAATAATATAAATGCAGAACAGTGGTTTTCAGCACTAGCTGCAATCTGTGTGGATTTTTAGACACATGAAACTACAGAAGCATCTACTTAGATGCTATGAGCAGAGCTGAACTTTGTTCATTTCTAAGACAAGCTCCCAAGAAACATGATCTTTGTGTTGGCAAACAAAGGACTTTTCCCTTTCTACTTCTGCAATGAATTTCCAAATGTGCAAGCAGCATTAACAGCATTAGACAGTATATATTTCTTGTCAGAATAATGTTTTACTGTGGATCCTGCACTTTTAGGGTATATTATATGACCACTCGCCTCTCCCCCCGCCATGAATAAGCAGAAAGTGTGATCACACCATGGTACTCCATAAGTAAATTTCTTCATTTTACTGCTACCATCTCTAATGCTTTTTCCAACACCAGCATGTCATGATTATTCTTCTATGTGTTGACCTTTATCTACTGCCAACACAATGAAAAGCCCTGTTCAGAACTGTGTCGTTTTCTCTCATAATTATTACTATGTTTTCTTCTTTTACTTTCTCACATCATCACTGACATTTTACTGAGGTTAGTTTGAAGTGCTTCTGCTTAAGATATTTACAACTTCTATTAAATTTTCTGCTCAACTCCAGCATTTTTCACTAAAGAGTTGAGGTTGTGCCTCAACCTTTTTAATCTTAAGTTGAAAGTCTTTTATAACATATCTTTTAATTCTCAACTATCTATGTGCTTTTTTCAGGAAAATTCACAAAGCAGGATTTGGCCTTTGTGTTTTAAACTCTTTTGGGAGAAGGATGTACCTCTGCATCCCCTAACACGGAGCCAATAGGCTCATAAATAACTGGCAGACCAAAACATTATGATTGTTCAATATGCACGTTGTTTTCATCAAAAGATTGGCATTTTTTTTAATCTCATTTAATTTCATTCTTTGAAGTTTTGTATACCTCTAAAAGTGGTTGATCCCACTTGCTTTTTACCTGATACATCTGTCAGAGGGAATGCCAGCAGGAAATGCCAGTTTCCCCCTCTCCCTCCCTGGCTGTCTCACATTTCTTGCCTTTAGCATTCAGCAGCTGCAGTTCACCATTGAGGAGTTCCTCAATGTGCGTTTTGGACATTCTTCCTACCTGGTGATCCTGGTTCCAGGCCAGATGTATGTTTAGAGGGGAAGAAAGAGCCATGTAACTGCTCATATCCCAGAGTTTCTTTCACCATTGGGAGTGAAAAGCTCAGCCTTCCCTCTACCAATGCTTTCATGTAGCACAGATTTCATCCACCCTGACACTGCAGAGCTGCAAGGTGTGACCTCCTTGCCCCCTTCCACCAAGAGGACAGAAACCAGGCTGGTTGCACTGAGCTTTCTTAAAGGGGTGGAAGTGAGACACAACTGACGCTGTTAGCCAGTTTCTACTGATCTATGCTTTACCTTCTGACCTGCCAATTTGTTATCTGGGCTCATAAGCATTTTAATTATGTTCTCTAAATTCATATATTCAGTCACAAAGTAGGAAACACTGAATTTTACCTGCCTCTTGGTCATTTGCTCTTTATACTTGAAAATTCATTAGATAAATGTATTCATTCATTTCTTTGTTCCCTGTGGCTTTGTCAAATGGTTCCTATAGTGATACTTCAGTCATATTCACAAAGAATGTGTTTAATTAATTTGGGGCTATTTTCACTGTCTGCCAGCATGTACATCTGCAGATACTCTTAATTCATTTTAACACATCCCTTCCTTTTTTTCAGTGATTAGCTCCTGACAGTGTTTTGTGCTTGTTTTCATGAGATTTCTTCTACTTTGTGTGTACTACAAGGAAGAAAAAAAAAACAGCTTTCACATTTGGATCACAGTCATGTCTAGGAAGCCTAATTGTATCCATTCCCAAGGAGCATCTCATGGCTGTATCTCTGCACTGAACAAGGACCACAGTGAAAAAGTGACAGCCAGCTCCCCACTCTCCATCGATACGTAGCACCCCATTCATCCCCAGCTTTCCATTTTCAATGAGAAGATCCAGAAACAGGCAGGTGGAGCCTACTACTGTTCTCAAATTTAAATATTATTATGCTGAAAAAGTGCTGACCATCTTTAGAGAGCAAAACTGGTTTGAATTTTGTGTGTGTGTGCACAGATCAATTCTTTAAGCTTTACTCACCCTATCAACATAATGGGTACTTGGAATCACACTGATTGGGATAATGAAATAATTTTCTGGACAACTAATTATTCACATGTGTAAAAGAGGATCAGAGCAGTTAGCCAAGAAAAAGCTCTGCATATGAAGCTCTCAGTGTTCCTTGGTGCTTTTGAACATATTGTTAGGATTTTTAACACCTGTTTGCCAACTTGTCTTCATAATGCCTCTTTGAAGTATCCCTTGAAAATATTAGCCCAATTTTAAAAGTGGAAAACAAAACTTAAGATGTCTCTACTAAAATAGCCATATAAGTAATCAGGAATAGACTACAGAAGCCTTTTGCTTCCAGATACAGCCTTAGCTCACAATGGCTAAGCTTCTTCTCCTGCTGCCAAAATGTTCTCCTTCTGATGCCTATTCTAATCAATAAAATAAGGCTGGGGACCATTCTTTGGCCCTGAGGTCAGGTAGGACAGACTGGCTGTGTTCATAGTACTTGGGTACTTGGCCCTGGGCCTCCTTTTAGCCCTGTATTTTCCGAGCTCATATTTTGAGTATGGGTTTTTTGTGCAATTTTCATGAAATAACATGAGGACTATACTGCAATCCATCAGCGTAATGACAATTTGAGAGTAAAAAGCCTGCTGGGGTAGCGCTGTAGGAGTGTGTATAATGAACAGAGCCAACCTATGCACAGTCTCATTTGCAGCATACTGGGAACAGTTAGCAAACAATGTTACCCGTGAACAATGCTGAGGCATTATCTGAGAGAGCTGTATTTGACATGGGCCAAAGCATTGTCAGGGACCATGCTTGCAAGTCTGAACCATCAGCAATTCAGTCAGTTCCTGGGCCTGTTTCATTTGGCAGTGTAGAGCAGCACTTGTTGCTGGAGATCAAAATGGTTATCTAACACTCATTGCAACTGCAGCAGCTGCAAAATAAAGCTTCTTTTGCTAATTTGCACTTTGCTTATAAGTAGAAGAAATGTAAACAACCATAATATTGAAATCTTTTCCATTTGCTTTGATGTTAGTTCCTAACACTTATTGTTCATCACTCAAGACCTCGTTAACTCATTTGTCGCAGAGTATTTTTTCCTTGAACTATACTTTGCCTTTGAGTTATACCAAGATGTATATATAACTAGTTATTAATATTACATATAGAATTGTTATTAGTAGTATATTACTGTTCTCAGTGCTGTTTGTGTGATTTATCTTAGAAGCACTGAGCTGATTGGGAAGTGCTGTAGAAAAAATCATGTCTGTTGGAAAGGGATTGTATCAGTAACACATTTTGGCATGATATGAAAATATGATGGAGGTTATTCAGAAAGGAAGGAAAAATCATCTCATAATGCCATCATGAAGAGTGTTGTGGTATTTACCTGACAGCTTATCGTACTGAATGCCACATAAGTCATAGCAGTGACATCCATTTACAAACCCAGTAATCATTTTGAGGGACCCACTACAGTAGGGACAGTTTCAGGTACATGACTGCTATAAATCAGTGCATGTTACTCTTTCTAGCTTTGGAAACCTTAGCCTAGTTTATCTTGTACTCTACTAGCACAATGAGTTATGCCACACTACTTAGAGTATGCTACTGTTAAAATGTATCTAGAACTGCTGTAATATTTTTCAAATAAGATTAATGGCACTGCAGTTCTTGGTAGTATCACAATCACTTCTTTCAGTGTCTGAAGCACAGAACACTTATATGATACCATGCACCAATTGCTGCATTGCCAACAGGTTGAGGGAGGCTACACTTCTGCTTTATTCATCTGAAGTACTGTGTCCAGGTTTGGGTTCCCCAGTACAAAAAAGACAGGGACATACTGAAGTGAGCCCAGTTAAAGGCCACAAAGACAACTGAAAGGACTGGAGCTTCTGACTTACGAGGGGAGACTGAGAGATATATTTACCCCAGAGAAAAGACAACTTGGGGGATCTTGTCAATGTGCATATATATGTGATGGGTGGGAATGAAGAAGACTGAGCCAGACTCTTCCCACTGGTATCCAGGGAAAGGACAAGAGGGAATGGGCATAAATTGAAATATGAGAAAGTCCATTTAAATGTGCAACCTCCCCATTTTTACTGTAAGGGTGATCAAACACTCAAACAGGTTGCCCAGAGAGGTTCTCGAATCTCCAGCCTTGAAGATATTAAAACCAAACTGGACATGGTCCTGAGCAACCTGCTCTAGCTGCCTCTGCTTTGAGCAGGGGTGCTGCAATAGACAGGCTCCAGAGAGGCCTTCCCACCTCAGAGATTCTGGGATTCTCTGAGTCATGCTGCAGGTTTTAGCACCAACAGGTGTGTAAGTAGCACCTTGTCAAAGTCCTCCACCACAGTCCTTAATCTGGAACTTACTTCCCATTAATTTTTCCCCTACAGTCTAGAGCCTTCTGATTTCTGCTCCTAAACTCTGCCAGTGCAGTCCAGGATTAGGGATAGGGTGAAGACTGGGGAGGAACGGAGAGACAAAGTGGAGAGAAAGAGAGTCTTGGCTCAATAAGTCCATCAAACTGCCCTTTGCTGATCTGAGACTGCTCAGAGCTTTCAGAAACTATGCCTGTACAGAGCACCTTTAATGCCTGTTCCCAACTGATTTAACATCTTACTGATAATCTGCCTCCCTAGCCTATCTTTCCTGAAGAGCCTGTATCCAGCAACACTCCAGGTGTAAGTTACCCTACCATGTCTCTGTAACCTCAAGGTGATAGCGCTGTAACTGTGCATGGACTTCTACTGTTTGTCTCCATGCTGCCTGCTTTTGTGAACATGTACCTGAGATGAATCCCAGACATGCCGCTTTCACCAGGGGAGTGCAAAAGTGTCCCCAACCATGTTGTACCTGAGATGCTTCCTAACCACCTGACATGCCTTCATGCCTCTTCAGCTTTTGATAACCCTTTGCCCAACATATCCTTCCATTGCAACATACAGACTGTTCAGCTGGACAGAGATATGGGGTGTTGCCATGCAGTCTTGTGACCTGTCTGTACTTGGGAATTATTCTGGACCCTTTCAAATGGAATCTGAATACATAAACTTTATCTGGGTTATGTCTGTGAATTTATGAAGCCTGAATTGTTTTGGTAAACACAGGAAATGAATTATTAATTTGGCACTTGGAGTAACTAGCTGAATGCCAATTTTGTGTACAATGTGCTTTAATAATCATAGATTAATCCATTATAACTCACTTCAGCTCAGAAGTGATACAAGTTGTTACTTCAGATGGTTTAACTCTTATTTCAATTATGTTAATTTTGCAAGGGTAATATGATTATACCACCTCTGTTAAATCACTTAGCCAACGGAGCAGTTTTATATAACAATTGGCTTTTCTTTATTAAATGTTAAATATCGCTTTCTTTGCTCTCCTGTGAAAGCCCAACTTTTTCTACTGCTGAAGCTTATTCATACTTTTGAAAAATCTTTATGGCTCTGTTATGGCTGCCCTTAATGTAGATTCATGAGTGAACAGCAGGATGTTTAAATTCTTCCTGTAATTCCCTATTATTAGTAGTTTTTTGGTTTTTTTTCTTTTCTCTGAGAGTGTACCAAGTTAACACATTTCCAAGCATAAATGGTATCTGATTAATTGTTGGTTATTAACAGGACACATACCTTTTCACTTTTTAGGTCTGCATTTCCTTTCAATCCTGGCAACCCCTGAAGTCCATTTTTACCCTGAAAGGAAAAAAAAATTAATTAGACATTACCAGGTTAAACAGGCTGTACACTAAGCAGCAGAGGCTGGATGTGAGGATGCTAGATTGTAACTCTTGGTTTGTGCAGTGGGAGGAGATATGGGGCTTGCACCTCTATGCAGCTGGCAGTGCACAAAATGTGCCTTTCGCCACATCTACTCTACCCACAACGAAGCAGCAATGAAGTCTGTTTGGGGGGATACAGATGGAAACACTTGGCAGGCTGGATTTGGATTTGACAGGGTACCAACTGGGCCACGCAGCACTGATGACAGATATTTTGAAAACTATAATGTTCCACTAGAACAAATAGTGACAGCTGTCTGAAAAGTCCTCTTCAAATTTTCATAGCCATTTACTTATGTAAGAGGTAAGAAAATCTTCATTTATTCCAAAGTTGCTGAATATGCTTACAGCAGGTAAATTCCAGGCTAGAATTCTGCCTCTTCCCTAACAACTTTCAAACTATGAGAAAATGAACACTTGGAAGAAATCTATTTTTCATTTCATACAGAAGTGATAGTCAAGAGAGTAGTGAGATATATTTGTAACACACTACTGCAAACTGCTGCCCTGAGTGCACCAAGTCATATCATTGGCAGTAGCCTGTTGCCACCTTCTACTGAAATCCTTTTTGCCTTGAACCATCTGCATATATTAAGTTTCTACCAAGTAGGATGCTTCCTGACATGTATCTGACAGGGAATGTGTGGTACTACATAGCATTTCACACCATTTTCCATTCTAAACTTCAGCAGTCAAATTAATCCCAAATAACCTTTCTATATGTGTTCATCTTATCTACACATAACACACATATGCTCTTCCTATAGAGGCATGGGTGGGAGTCATCCAGAGAAAGGAGGAAGGAACAATACAGGAAGATGACAGCAAATGTGACAGAAGAAAGAGTAAAATAGAGGAACACAGAGAAAGGAAAGAAGGAAGGATGAAGCAGAAGGTGCAGTTGAATTACTGCACAAGAGTTGAGGGGTGACAGGTACATCTGGAAAGTTAATAGCAGCTGAGTTTATGAGCAGGCAACATGGCAGCACATGTCTATGAAGGGTCAATGAAGCACTTTTTTTTGCCCTGGAAGAGGTCTGGTCTGAGTATGTCCTCTTTTTGAAGTTCCTCTCTGCAAAAAAGCCAACCTCACCAGAGCTGGACTACTTCTACAGCTGCTTATGGCATGCCATGCCTCTTACTTTCCTTGCAACTGGGAAATCATAAATTTCTCTTAGAAACCTGGGTCCCCCTCTCTTGGCAAGCTGAGGAAGTCAGCTACAGCACCAGAGCTGCCTTCTAAAGAGAGTACACAGAGAAAGCATTTTGCTGCTTAAGCTTCAACGTAGCTGAGTCTCTGATAAAAAATATTGTTAGTTTTTTTTCTTCAGTTAACCAAATAAAATAAAATATCTTTGTTAGAAAGCTAAATAAAGCATTGTAACAAAGAACCAACAAAAGAGAAAAATAATTAACTACAGCTTGATGTGTCATGCAGTGACAAAATAACAAAGCAGAACTGTAACAAATGCTGTGTCATAGTGTGATCTGGTTTGCACCTCTGTTTGTTTGGATACATCTTGCGCTGATGCTTCAGAAGGACACGAAGTGTGAAACATCGTGGATATCCAGAAGCCACTGAGAGAGGCATGTGAGTTCTGAAGTCCAGCAGCTTTGAACATGTTCAAACATGACGGCTGGGAGGGTGGTGCAACATTGCAAAGGCTGCCTGAAGAGTTTGTGGGATTACCACTCTAAGAATGTTAGTATGTTGGTACACCAGTTGTCTCCCTTGTGCTTTCTGATGATTGTCTCTCATCAGGCCCTCGTATAGCTCTTGACACAAGTGCAAAGCAGATATGGCACTCCTGAGTTGATTTGGTGGGGCTAAACCCCCATCTTGTAGAAGTATAACTGATGGCAGTGTGTGAGGCTGTGGAGTTACAGCCCTTTATGCATGTGCGTTGAATGACTATTACACTTTCCAAAATACATGCATTCTTTCAATAGACAGAAAATACTCACAGGCTGACCATGTTGTCCAAGTTTCCCTAGAGGTCCAGGAGGTCCTTGATCTTTTTTCTTCAGATCTTCTACTCCTGGCCTTCCTGGAGATCCTGTGGGCCCATCCTCCTCTTCCTGACCTTTCTGTCCCTGAGCAAGTAAAATGTGAAATACAAAAAATGTGTTGCATTACTTTTCCCATTTCTCTCTCTCTTTTTTCACCTCTCTTCCCTCTCTCCTAGAACCCCTGCTTTGTTCAATGCAGTCAAAAATACGTTAGGCACCATACAAACAATACACCCATTTAGCAAAGGCAGTCCATACTAGAGATCATTCAAGCAAGTACAAATAAATTACTCACTGAGCTGTAAAAAAAGAGAGCTGATTACCTAGATGCAAATGACTATGGTCTAATTTAATATCTGCACATATCTGCACAGTCTAAATCAATAACATACATTTGAAAAAGACCAGTTTCATAAGCTCAGTCTGTCTGGGAGAAAATTGTGAAAGTTAAGAAGATATGTTTAGGAATGCTTTAGCCAACTCCCCTGAGATTTACAACTCTAACAAAAGAGGGTTACCTATACAGCTTGGTTAAAAAGGGAAGTGACAGAAGATGAAATGAGGAAACCGATAGCAAAGGGTAAAAGTGGACAACAAGCAAGAGCAAAAAAAATTGCTAAGCATCAGTATTTGGTGAAGAGAAAGTAAGAATAATAAAAAGAATAATTTAAACACACCAGGAACAAAATAAACCCTTTCAAAGGTGAAGCTCAGACACTAACACATATTTAAATTAAAATACAGTATACAGGATGGAACATTTAAGTAATTTTTGTAACAAGTTTTGGAACAAGCACTAGGTTTTACTCATTTTATAGCAGCAATGTAATACTTTGTGCTCGGTTAGTAGCTAATGAAACTAGGAGGGATGTAATATAGTAACTATGCAAGCATTTTAAAGTTAGCAGGGTGACAGCTTTCAGAAAAGGAGCTGTTAGATGATTTTTTTTAAAGATCTTTCTGCATTTTGCCACTAGGAAACTTCCCACAGACCAGAGATTTTTTCATCTGGTCTCATTAGAGATTTTTTTCCCATCTGGAAAAGTGTTAGAAGAGAACGCAGTCAACTAAACTGTGGGTAAGATCATAACCTGAGTGAGATAACAGGATTGTTGATACAGGCTGTTAGAATACTGAAGGAGCTAGCGCATGTTATGGCAGGAGCCTTCTCGATCATCTACTAAAGGTCTTGGGAGTCTGGGGAGGTCCCTGCTGAATGAAAGCTAGCCAATGTTATTCCAATCTACAAAAAGGGTGTAAGGGAAGACCCAGGGAACTACAGACCTGTTAGTCTAACCTCAGTTTCTGGAAAAACTATGGAGAAAATTATACGGAGTACTATTGAAAGGCATTTAAGGAATAATGCAATCATCAGGCACACTCAGCATGGGTTAACAAAAGGAAAGTCCTGTCTAACTAATCTGATATCCTTTTATGATAAGGTAACCTGCCTAGTGGATGAAGGGAAGGTGGTGGATGTGGTTTTTCTGGGTTTTACTAAGGATTTTGATACTTTCCGTCACATCATCCTCCTGAAAAAGTTGCCCAACTGTGGGATGAGTGGGTTCATGGTGCGCTGGGTGAAGAACTGACTGAAGGGCAGAGCTCAAAATGTTGTGAATGAGAGTACATCTGGCTGGACTCTGGTCACCAGTGATGTTCCTCAAGGTTCAATTCTAGGGCCAGTTCTGTTCAATATATTTATCAATGATCTGCATGTGGGAGTTGAATGCACCATTAGCAAGTTTGCTAACTAACTAACTAACCTGGGAAGTGCTGTTGACTCTCTTGAGGGACAAGAGGCCTTGCAGAAGGATCTAGATAGATTGGAGCATTGGACTGTGACTAATGGGATGAAATTTAACAAATTGAAATGCCGGATTCTGCACCTAGAAAGGAGTAATTCTGGGCACAAGCATAAAGTGAACAATGGTTCATTCTGACATTAAAATTGCTGCTTTTAAAAACTGTGAATCCAGGCATGAATTCATTAGAGGAATCATATCTGGAAGTCCTCCAACAAATATTAAAGTTTCTTGTATGTCATCTCCAATGGATGATCCTTAATCTAATGTTTCACCATTTGTTACAATTTACCACAATAAGCACAGAAACACTAGAAGACCCTATAAGAAGCAACCTTAAACACTTGAATAAAAGACACAATGTAGAACTTCAGAATAAAAGTTCTGTCATTCTTGATGTGGTGTGTTTTCTGGCAAACCGAAGCAGTCATAACTGAAGCAACATGAAGAATGGACATTTGGCATAGGAGTCACAAAGAGGAAGGAAAGGTCATTAGTTATTTTCTCCTTAGAAAAATCTGTGGTGGCTGTTGGATCAGGAACGTTAATTAATGAAAAATGTATTGCTAGCTGATTATTTTGAAGTATGTCAACAAGTAGGGCAAGCATTTAAATTGCTGGAGCCCTCCAACTCACAGGATTCCAAATGAGGGACATAAGTAATTTTAACTTGCAGAACCACATGAAATTCAGGTTACGCATTACCTTACAAATGCAATAGGCACAGAATCTTTCAAAACCCAGTATCTCACCAGAGAGAGTGACTTTGCTATATATGGCATAGCCACCCCCTTTGGGATTTCTAGTGCCTGCATGTAGGCTGGAGTACTTTAGGAGTTAAAAGGGCTGCCACTTTTTTTAGCACTGCATGAACCTCAAAGTACAGACAGGCCATAGCCTTGCATTTTCTCTTAATTTCCTTGTCTAAGAGCTAGGCCCACAGGAGTCTACCCAAAAGGAATGTCTAATTTTATAAGAGATTTGACAAAATTGATTTTGAAAATGTGACTAGTCTCAATGCTTTGCATGTAATTTATAGTTATGCCTGGTCCTGTCAGAATTGAATTACCTATTAAATTACAACCCATCTTTGTCAGAGTTTCCTCTGTTCAGTAGTGTACAACTCACTTGATGGTGGCACACACACTTTCTAGAATCTCTTTTTCCATCAGGAGGGATGTTGAAAGGAATTCCTACATTGGACCTTGTCGTGGTCTAACCTGGCTGGCAACTAAGCACCACGCAGCTGCTCGCTCACTCCCCCCCACCCCCCTCAGTGGGATGGGGGAGAGAATCGGAGAAAAAAAAAAAAAAAAAGTAAGACCCGTGGGTTGAGATAGAGACAGTTTAATAAAAGAGAAGAATAACAATAGTGATAATAATAATGGTAAGAGAATATACAGAATATATAAAACAAGTGTTGCTCAATGCAATTGCTCACCACCCACTGACAGGTGCCCAGCCCGTCCCGAGCAGCGATCACCCCCGCCGAGCCACAATCACTCTGCCCACGACCGACCAACTAACCCCCTCGAGGATGATGTTATATGGTATGGAATAGCTCTTTGATCAGTTTGGGTAGCTGTCCTAGCTGTGCTGTACTCCCTCCTAGCTTGTTATGCACCTGGCTGAGCAGGAGAAGCTCAAAAAGTCCTTGAGTAGTCTGAGCACTACTTGGCAACAACTAAAAACATCAGTGTGTTATCAACATTCTTCTAGTACTAAATCCAAAGCACAGCACTATGCTAGCTTCTGAGAAGAAAATTAACTCTATCCCAGCCGAAACCAGGACAGACCTTTACAACAACACAACCTGACCAGGGTTTTGGAAGGCATCTCTGAGAGGTGAAAGATGTCCAGGTATCACCTCTACTAGAGTGCTTCTAAAAAATGTGCTGGCAGCCCAGAGAGAAGCTAAGCATGGCTGTAAACAGCGTTTGTTCACATAACTGCTCTGACATAGACATGAGTAATACAAGGACCCCAAACAACTTTACTGACTTGGCTCAGCTTTGATCCTTTATAAGGCCATCTAGGGGTGGAAAAGTTATTCAGTCATAATGTTTTATTAGTTAAAGCATCTTTTTATTGTGAATGCCAGGAAAGTTGCTGGTTACTTTTTAAATGGATTTTTTTGTCTCTGGGTATTAATGTGTGCAGCTGTCAGGAGGCAGCATGCACTGCTTGTTTAAAGAAATAACTAGGAGTTGCAGACATTTTTCCAGTGTAATCCACTCAGTCATTCCCTTGTCAAGACATGGAATATAGGATCAACATCTTGGATGGTAATTCAAGTAAGACTGGGTTTATAAAGGGATAACTTGCATAAATTATAAATTTTCAGATTAGTCTGTGGGCAACTAAGGAATGCCAGTGATACATTTTAGGCATGGATTCCTCTAGAGTTTAGTGTGGTTTAGTGCTAAGTCTTCTGTTTGGATCACCTGATAATGAAGCACTGTGACAATGAAGTGTTTCTTTGCACTTGGTACTTCACACAGAAGCACTTGGTGAGCACTCAAAGGGTGTAATTTTAAATCTGCTTATATGCCACACTTCTGAGAAGGAAGCAGGACTTCTACCTGCAAGGCAGTTACTGTAAGATCAAGAAGCCTGCTTTTAGGGAATAAAAGAAGTGGGCTTTTATGGTGAGGATTTAGGTTGGTTATTTTCTTTGTTTTTCACTTTCTTAAATGCAAAAGGAAAAAATGCAAAACTGAAAGAACAAATTTGTTTTGAAAAATCAAAAATCTCAGGCCCATCTCAATGGTTACAGATCCAAACTTCTGCATAGTGTCAGTGCTTTTCAGTCTTGATGTCATGAGAGGACAGTCAAGAGTTTAAAAAGTAACTTCTGTTTTGGCATGCTGCTAAGATGGAATAGATAAAGGTACCAACTCAGAAAAGTGCCTGAAATTCATACATTTTCCTGCTCTTGGGACAAAAAGATAAGGCATGTGATAAACCCATTGTACAGACCTCCCCTCTGCTTGCTCCTGGCAAAACACCAGAGCCATCTTCTTCTCTTAAGATTTTCTGTGTGACAGTGGTAGATTCACTGTTGCCTTGTCCAATTTCCATGACAGCTGAATCTAAATAAAATAATCGCTTATTAGTGAGAGACAGAGCAAAATAAAACCCACAGAGAAGTATTTATCAGAGCACAGAACCTGCAAGTTGTTTAAAAAAGAAATTTAGATTATGACCAAAATACATTCCAAAGATTAATGTTAGTCTTTTTATAACTCTGAAAATTGTAAAAAGCAAGAAAAAAAGAGAAAAGTGAGAATAAATAAGTGTCTATTTTAAGGACAAATACTGTATTGCATCATCTTCTTGGCCTCAGGCTCTAGTCTAATGGTTGCCTATTTTTCATCTATATAACATAAAAAAATAAGAGCTATGTACAACAGGTACTATCTGAAGTATGTATGAAATTTAAATAGGAACATTGTCTTTGGCCTTATTAAGGTAACTAGCTTTATTTTTTGTTTTCTAGAAGTGCACTGAAATTGTCTTATTCATGGAGGACTGGATTCCTCTGTGCGCTATGCCCTGCTCTTATTACTTTACTGCCTACACTTGCACAGTCAGTGCACTAGGCAGATTCACATCCTTTGCAGGGAACATAAGTAGGATATCGTTGTTTATTCAGCGGTAGTATTCAGATTTACATGAAAGGCTGTACTTCATTGTAACAGAAGGTCATCAGATTATATACTCATCTAACATTCCTTTTAAAGGTGTCACATGGCTTTAGGGCCAGTAGCACTGTTCGCAGAGGTATGCCCCCAAAAGCGCCATGCTTCTTCCTGACCTGAGCAGAATGAAGAGGATTTTTCACCTTTCATTCCCTTTGCCTAACACTTGCACTTTACTGGACTGCTGTAGAGTATGACAGCAGCAGGTCCTCAGGTCAGCTTCTTTGTTTTATCCAATATTTTTTTTCATTTTAAAATATAAACCATAGTTCTGTGACTGAAACTTGCACACTATAGAAGGGTAAATCTATTCTCTGCATGTTTACCAACAACGACTGAGATAGGCATCTATATGGAGTGAAAAGTGAGAGTTGTGTTGAATGGTGGCTGTAGTTGCAACCACTTACCTTTGCTGCTATTAACAAATTGCAGTCTAACAGACTGCAGTTTCAGAGACAAATATTTGATGTGCCAATTCTTTTCTAACACACAGGATGTCCAAAACCATAGGATTTTCCCTTTCTGGCAGCACGCAAAATATGACAGTGACTTTTCATATACTGGGAAATGACAGACTCAGACCTAGACAACATAAATGACCACAACCCCCCACTGTAAAAAAAAAAAAAAAAAAAAAAAAAAGGCAATGCCTTGTTCTTTAAGTTTAGCTGCTTCAGACGTTTCTTCTGAACTGTGATTTCCAGAGAAATAATTCTCTTCCACATAAGACAATATTGTTGGGGGGGCTTCCACTGGCTCAGCCAATGTATCTTCAGGCTAAAAAGAACATAAAATACCAAAAAACAGTTAAGAGAAAAGGCTTATCACATATTTTAAAGCAAGATTCAGTAGATTACCTTCCTCAAAGCATAGTAATCAGAACTACTACATTTATGAAGTGAAACAGGATTCCAGATCTTTCATACTTAATATCTTGTCTGTATCTGTCCTTACTCTCATGCTGCCCTTAGAAACATTAACTGTCATTGCTATCATAAAAACTGAAGTTTATTAATGGCCAATATATAAACCCTCTTTATTTTACAAGTTTTTAATTTATTTCACCTTCTATTTAATCTTTACAGATTTTTACAGAATCTGTTTACAGAACACATCTAGTTTCTGCTTATCAGCAGATGTCACAGTAGTTTGGTCAAGCTCTTGAAGAGAAAGCAGTGGACATCATCCACCTTGATTTTAGCAAGGTTTCAGCACCGTCTCCCACAATATTCTTGTATCCAAGCTAGGACTGGATGGGAGAGCAACAAGATGGATAAAAAAATAGTTGGATGATTGAACTCAGAGCATAGTGTTTAATGGGACATACTCATGGGTCCATCCTGGGATCTGTTCTGTTTAACATCTTTACCAATGACCTGAGGAGACAGCAGAGTGCTTGCTCATAAAGTTTGCAGATAATGCCAAGGTGGGAGTTGGAGGTGCATCAGTTGATATGCTCAAGCGCAGGATTGCCATCCAGAGGGACCTGGGCAGGCTGGAGGAATATGCCAACATGAACCTTATGAAACTCAGCAAGGACAAACACAAAGTCCTGCACCTGGGAAGGAAGAACCCCTTGCAACAACACAGGCTGGGGACAGCAGCTCTGTAGAGAACGACCTGGGGATCTTGGTGGACAGCAAGCTGAATATGAAACAGCAGCATGCCCTGATAGCACAGCAAGCTGTCTTAAGAACAATCTGGCTAAATGCCAGAAGATGTAGGGAAGTGATTAACCTCATTTATTCAGCACTTGTTATAAAACATCTAGAATACTGTGCTGTACTGGGTTTCTGTGGCAAGGTCTTGGTATTGGGGGGCTACAGGGGTGGCTTCTGTGAGAAGCTGCTAGAAGTTTTCCCTGTGTCTGCCACTGGCCAAGGCAAACCAGTCAGCGATGGTGGAAGTGCCTCTGGGTGCAGCCCTGGTAAAGACCATGGTGAGGCAGGCTATGACCCTGCAGTCCAGGGAGGCCCACGGGGGAGCGGGTCGATGACTGAAGCGAGGAGGCTGTGGCCCCGTGGGAAGCCTGCGCCAGATCAGGTTCCTGGCAAGCCATTGCGGACCCATGGGGAGAGGAGCCCACGCCAAAGCAGGTTTGCCGGCAGAACTTGTGACCCCGCAGGGGACCCAATGCTGGAGCAGTCTGCTCCTGAGGGACTGCACCCCATGGAAGTTATGGGCCCATGCTGGAGCAGTTTGTGAAGAACTGTAGCCCATGGGAAGGACTCATGTTGGAGAAGTTCATGGAGGACTGTGTCCCGTGAGAGGGACCCATGCTGGAGCAGGGGAAAAGTCCTCTCCCTAGGAAGAAGAAGTGGCAGAAACAATGTGTGCTGAACTGACCTCAACCCCCATTCCCATCCCCCTGTACCACTGGGGGGAGTAGGTAGGGAAGCTGGGAGTGAAGTTGAGCCCAGGAAGAAGGGAGGGGTGGGGGGAAGGTTTTTAAGATCTAGCAGTTTCTCATCTCCTTCTCTGATTTTGATTGATAATAAAATAATTATTTTCAAGTTGAGTCTGGTTTGCCCGTGATGGTAACTGATAAAATGATCTCTCCCTGTCCTTATCTCAACCCACGAGCCTTTTGATTTATTTTTCTCTCTTCTGTCCGGTTAGAGGGGAGTGATAGAGTGGCTTTGGTGGGCCCCTGGCGTCCAGCCAGGGTCAAACCACCACATGTGCCTGGTTTTGTCCCCTATTACAAGACAGATATCTATAAACTAGAGTAAGCTCAGCAGATAGCTTACAAGACAGACAAGGGCTGGAGCACTTGTCCTGTGAGGAAAGGCTGAAGAAACTGGTCTTCAGCCTGAAGAAGAGAAGGCTTATGGGAGACCTAGTGGCAGCCTACCAATACCTAGACAGTGTTCAGTGATATGGAGCTAGGCTCTTCACAGTGGTGCTTGGCAGCAGGACAGGTGACAATGAGCATTAAGTTGAAATAAGAGAAGTTCTGTTTTGATATAAGGAGAAACATTTTCACCCATGAAGGTAGATCTGCATTAGAACAGGCTGTACAGTGAGGTTGTTGCAGTCTACATCCTCAGATGTTTCCAAGACCAGACTGGAAAAAACTCTGAAAAGTGTGATCTGACCTGACCGATGACCCTGTTTTGAGCAGGAGGTTGGACTAGATTACCTTCTTTCCAATCTGAAATAGTCTATGATCCTTGACTGTATTTTTATGATTGTTAGTTCATAAAGATGTAAGGTTAATGAAACAAAATAGATAGTATTGTTCCTGGGGAAAAAAAAAAAAAAAAAAAAAAAGAAAACCCACCACACAAACCTAGTACTGCAATGCACATGAAATGGCTTGAGCACTCATGAACCAGCAAAGAAGATTGTTGTTCCCTACTTTTCTTGCTTCTCACACCTCCCCACCAAGGAGTAGGCTGGGGGTGCACAAGAAGCTGGGAGGGGACATAGCCAGGACAGCTGACCCAAACTGACCAAAGGGCTATTCTATACCATATGACACCGTGGTCAGCATATAAAGATGGGGAAAGAAGCAGAAAGGGGGGGACCTTTGGAATGATGGCATTTCTCTTCCCAAGTAACCATTACGTGTGATGGAGCCCTCCTTTCCTGGAGGTGGCTGAACACCTGCCTGCTGACAGGAGATAGTGAATGAATTCCTTGTCTTGCTTTGCTTGCGTGCGCAGCTTTTGCTTTATCTATTAAACTGCCTTTATCTCAACCCACGAGTTTTTTCACTTTTACTCTTCCAATTCTCTTGCCCACCCTGCCAGGGGGGAGTGATCAAGTGACTGTGTGATGTTTAATTGCTGGTTGGGGTTAAACTGTGACATCTTGCAGAAGGAAGAATAAAAGCCAAAAATTCTACTATTGCTGTGCATAGTAATTATGAAGGTTATTAAACAGAAAATTAAAGCAATAGCTAATAGAATTGATTTTTTTCTCGATAGACTACAGAAGTAAGACATCTTTCCTGAATTAGCTCCAGTTGTATCCAAATGAGAAGTCAAAGCACAGTAAGATTCATGGGTTAAGTTTTGTGGTGTGATGCAAAATGGAGAGGAGTCATCAAGGCACCAGCTGATTTTGCTGCCATTCAGAACTCCAGATGGCTGCAGAAATAAGCAGACAAGCATCTCCTGAAGTTCAGCAAAGTAAAATGCAGTTTCTGTATCTGGGGAGGAATTACCCCATGCAGCAGTAATGGCTGGGGGTCAACTGGCTGGAAAGAAGCTTTGCAGGTACGGATGCTGGTAGAAGAGCCAGCAATGTGCCCTTCTGGCAAAGGCAGCCAGCAGCATCCTGGTCTGCATTAGGACCAGCAGGTTGAGGGAGGTGATCTTTCTGTATTGAGCCATGGTGAGACCCCTGTCTTGAGTACTGTGTCCAGGTCAGGGCTCATCACTACACGGACATATTGGACCAAGTCCATCAATGGACCAATCCATTAAGGAGCTAGGGTTTTTGACCTATGAGAGGAAGATAAGAGAACAAGGACTGCCTCAAGAAGAGAAGGCTCAGAGCAATCTTATAAATGTGTACAAAATCTCGACAGGAGGGATTAAAGACAGATCCAGACCTTTCTCAGTGGTAGCCAGTGAAGGGAAAAAGAGACAATGGACACAAATTAAAATACAAGAAATTCTGGCTCTACATCAGAAAAAAAACCTACACTGGAACAGAGAGGCAGTGGAGTCTCTATCCTCGAGGAAATCCAAACCCCACTGGCACGGAGCAACCTGCTGTACTTAACTCTGCTTTTAGAAGGGAGTTAGACAGGACAATCTTCAGAGGTCCCTTTCAAACTGAGCTAGTCTGTGATTCTGTGAAAAGCACAAGGCAGGCCAAAAAGAGTTTAATAAGCTATATGTAAAAGGGATAAAAGTTAATAATAAATCTCCTTTAAAACACATCAGGACCAGGAAGCCAGGTCAATACACAAGTTATAAAAAGAGTGCTCAGAGAATTTTAAGCCATAGCAGAAAAAAAATAAGGTGTTTGCATTCATGTTGACCGTGGAAGAGTTAAAATTCCTGCAAAAGAGTATTCTTGGGAAACTCAGCAGAGGATATGTCCAAAACTGAAGTCTTGTAATAAAAGGGTAGGAAACACACTGACTAAGTGAATGGCAACAAATCACAACTGAACAGTATTCACCCATGAGTTCTGAAGGATTCAACAGTGAAGGAGCTGAAGTATGTGCTATATCAGGGAAATGTGAGCATGGTTTCTGTAAAGTCATTTCGCACAAACCTACTGGTTTTCTGTAAAGGAACCTGGATAAAAGAAAAATGCTTGAGATAAGCTGTATGGAAAACTTCATTGTGAGGAATGGACTGGAACATTTCAGCCTGTCACAAAAAGGGAGAGGGAACATGATGCGATAGGAATCTGTAAAATCACAAATGTTATGATGAGTAAGGAGCAACTGCTTACCCTGTCTTCCAGTAGAGTAACCACCAAATGAAAGCTGCAATTAGTGTGTTCAGAATGGCAAACAAAAGGTGAAAATCCTTCACAAAACATGTAGTTAAATAAGCTAAGGAACTCTGCAGCAGGAAGCTGAGGATGGTGTAATTCCCATGGTTTAAAAAAAAAAAAACCAAAGCAAGAAATACAAGGGCAAAAAACTCAGCTGAGGTCCACTTAACACAGATACACTCCTGGCTTAAGCATTTCTTGAGATGGAAATTGTTACAGGGTAAAAGAGTATTCCTGGTAAGTGTCCTATTTATATTCCTGATCTATTGCTAAACTCTTCCCAAAGTACTTGTTGCTGATTGTTGTCAAATACACCAGACTTTTTATCTGGCACAGTGCAGTCATTCTTATGGATGGGTGCCTATTTTTCTCACAGCTGCCTTTGGAAGTTGCCACATATTAAAAACTAGTGAGGAAACTTTGCTATCTAAAAAAGTAATATTAAACCAGAAATATAAAGTAAATAAATCAAATAAATTTACCCTTATGGGATGATGAGAAGGTGCAAGGACTTCTTGTGTCTCAGAAATACCTTCGTGTTCTTGAATGCTGCCATTGCCGCTGATGTCCCCTGAAGCCTGCGCAAAACCCAATAATGATAGCAAGTTGATAAAAGTCAGGGGAAAAAAAAAATATTGTCTCCAAGGAATTGGCTACTTCAATGCAGAAAAACCTTTTTTTTTCCAGTTGATGAAGCCTCAGTGTCATTATGATGTTAACTCATTTCAGTACTTAGAGCATTTAATAAAAATGACCCTTCAGAAAAATAAAAGTCATAGTTCATTTTCCCAAAGGTGTTATAGACAAAAGAAAATGATGCTTTTTGAAAAATCACAGTTTTAGGGGCTGTGTAGTCAAAAAAAAAAATCCTCCACACAGATAGTTTTTTACTATGTTCTCAGGAAGAAATACTACATTTAGTCTTATGAAAAATCTCTAATGGCAAGTGACTGAAATTTCTGAGGCACTGAGGATAGATAAAGAAGTGTTTATAAGCATACTCACATAAGGATCATCATCTTCACAATGATCTTCAGTAGCCCTTGGGTCAGATTTGATTGTCAGATGTTGAATTGATCCCTACATGAAACAACAAAAACAGTTCAAGGAAGTAATATGTTGAGTAGCGTGCATGAAGGGGGATGCAGGGGTGGGAATTAAACACATCAACAAACAACCCCAGACTTTGTTCTGATTTGCTTGGGAAATGATCTGAAGCATAAAATTTTATGATAATAAACCCTCTTTAAGAATGTAAATATGTTCTTACATTTTTCTTTTACAAAATGCGGAAAAAATTGAAGCTGCCAGAATACAACGTCATGTCCCAGTGACAATACCACTGCTATAAGTGCTCCACCTGAAGGATCTATTCCTAGATTACGTCCTAGCATCTGTAAAGCACTGACTGCTTTTTCTAGTTAAGAAATACATTGCAGCTACAAAAAACGGCATGTGAAAACCCCTACAAATGGAGACAAAGCACATACCAGTAAGTGATGAAGTGGGTCAGGGAGAAACCAGCTTAAAACTTTTCAAAACTGAAGAAAGGAGATGGATTTCCTGATAATAAATGTTTCTTTTTTCAGAGTTACAAATTATGTTTCTCAGTCTGACATGCTGAAGGAGCTGCAACAATTTCATTTTAAACATTTAAGCCTTGTTACTTAGATTACCAAGACTCAGTGTTTTAAGAAACATGTTGGGGATGTTTCTTTGTTATGAGGTCTCACAGAGTTAGGCATGATGCACACGCAGGACAAAAATATGGGTATTCAGATCAAGACCCGTCTTACCTAAGACACATGACCTGCCTCTTCCTGTTTTGTTGACAGTATATTTTGTTTCTTTGCTTTTTTATTTTCTGTTGAGAAAAATCTGAAGAAGCTGACAGATCTAGTCTTTATGTCTAGACAGACACAGAATACTTCACAGTCCAGTGACTTCTCTTCAAGGAGCTAAAACGTTTACATCATGCAATGATACCTTGGCTGTGCTCTGTCTGCTGAGTGTTACCACAGTCACAGCAGATCTGCTCACTCAGCGGTACAGAATGACTGAGTCTCAGTAAGGAAAACTGCAACTGTTGAGATGAGGAAAGTAGTAGGCTTTGCTGTTATTTTATGCCACCAAAAAAATGCAGACTCCAGAGGAGGAGTAGCTACCATTTGTGTACTCTGCTATGTCTGACTTTCCGCTTACTCTTTCCACTCTGCAGTGGTCCTCTCTCCCTGTCCTAGAAGTATTGGGGAATTATAAGCAAGGAAGTACTTTTGAAGCAATAATTCTGGTGGTTTCTAGAATATTTCAGAAAGGAACAAAATCTGAGATTCCATCTTTAACACTCCTCTAATTTCTGTGTCTTCAAAGCCCACGAAACTCATGCAGTTGGTTCCTCCTGAGTTTGCAGGAAATCTGAGGTAACAGCTCAGTGAACTGAACCATCCTATTTCTCTCAAAACTAATAATGGGCAACTCAGATATTGAATGATGTCAGACTAACCAAACAGTTCACTGAAAAATTATATAGGAAAGAAGGCACAACCAGACACTTAAGCAGCCGCTTGGAAGTGATGCTTTGTTTTCACAGTATGAGTGAATCACATTTGGAGAACATAATCTGTGGTCTTGGATGGTGAAGGAAGCAAAATGGAGAGCCCTAATGTTACCCAAGAGTTGCTGCTAGCCAGTTACTCCAACTAGGAATGTCATAGCCAAGCCTGCCATAGTAGGGATGGTAGGTATGAGGTATTGTAGTCCCCTTCTGGGTCTTGTGCCTGCTGCTGCCTTCCCTGTCAAAGCTGGTTTGCAGAATCTGGCATCATCGCTGATTCAGCTATATTTGGTTGTTGTCCGGTTTCTGCTTTTCTTTACAAGCACCAGGGCTAGAATTTCTTTTTGTTTCCATAAAATCTGATGATAGTTATGTCCTTTTGCGTTTGACAGACAGAGCCTTAGACACATGAATTCCCATGAGCCAGAGCAAACCAGCAAATGACATCCATTCAGAGTAATTTGCACTGTCTGCTGTGAATTGTTTCTATTTTGGGCAATCAGTGTAAACAGTTCTTGTCATACAAACAGAGCTTGAGGACAAATCAACCATTTAGTTTTTCTACCCAAAAGCAATTGCGATGTATGATGCATGAAGAAATAAAGGCACAAGACCTAGAGTACACATCACAATTAATAGTACTGAAGCAATCAAAATATTGGCTGAAAGTTATGTGCTTGATTTATCATGCAGAGCAGCCTATTTCAGTGGAAATGTCTTAAGAGTGTAATCCACCGTGCATTCCTGTCACCATATTTACAGATTTATTAGCTTTAATCTCAGCAACTGATCATCACATGTGTTTTCCAGGTGGGGTACCAAAGTGGTCTCATTTTCTTGAATGTTTCTCATTCCTACTTACTAATTAGGCATCCCCAATAGTCTAGTCATCCCATCTGTCAAAGAAAGGTAGTGCCAGCAGGCAATTTTCCTACATATCCCTTTCCACCACTTTTTTGCTGCTAGTCAATATATTCCTGAGCTTAGACTAGTCAGATAAATGATAGAATTGCATTATCCTTGTTGCTTACCAGATGGAGCTCCCAACCTGTCAGTACACCTAAACTTTGGAAAGAATATCTTCTTTCTCTAAAGCAAAAGGATCCACTCAGTTTTGTGCTGCTGCATTACTAATTTAGGGGAAGAGATATTAATCTCACAGAATACTGTACAAGTTTTGATGTACAAGGGAAGTACAAAAACAAGACAGAAAAAGTATGACATTTCCCTTTCAGTTTGACAATGTGGCAATCCCACACATATTGACAGCTTTCACATTTCCATTTGGAAGCTCAATGACTGAGAATTCCCGTCAGGATGCAGCAGGAAGAATGCTTGCATTCAAGCTAAGAAGGCTTGGGAGCCTTGTAGTAGTGGTTTCAGACCATTCTATTTTTCTAAAGCACCTGATAAGCTTCAAGTAATATATTAATGGTAGAAATGCAGCTGTATCTTCCAACTATCTTTACCTTTGATGAGCTCATTCTTTTCCTGATGTTGAATGTGAAGGAAATATACCTACACCTAGCTAATAAGTGTTTAAAGTATTGACTTTCTACTAAGGTATTATTCTCAGACGTTAAACAAATGGATTCTATGACAGGCAGATTTCAGAGTAAGGCCATATAAATTTATGTGATCTGTTTACTTTGAAACTCCTAGTATTCAAACTGAGCATTGAGCTTGATATCTGGTCCATGAATAAACTACTGAGGTTCTAGGAACATTTGCATTTTAAGCCAGAGGTTATATCTCTGCACTGCCTGAACCCTAGCCAGGTATGGAAAATACAAGCTATACCATTTGTAACCTCATTTGGAATATAACCGTTATAAGCAGACTTTCTTTGGTAGAGAGCACATGTATAAAATGCTGAGGCAAGTGAATTTATCAGACAGTACTTACTGTGAACTTTTCCAATCCTGTGGCTCCTGCATTACCAACAAATATCCCAGAGCCAGATTCAAATACCAAGGATTCAGCTGACCTTTGAAACTGAACTCTCTGATATTCTTCACAGTCCATGAACAAAGCAACATCATTTCCCTGAACAGTCATTGTGAACTTATTCCACCTGTTAGTCATCACTGGCACTTTAAATGAAGCAGCCTCTTGAGAGATATGGGAACCAGGCTCCGTGTAGTACATTATTATCCTCTGGGTGCTGTCATCAACTGGTGAAAGTCTCATTCCCAGGTAAATAGTTTTCTGGAAGACATCTGTTATTGCAAATAGCACTCCTCCATGATCACTGTTGGGTTTCACTGTAACTACGATAGCAAAATCTCTGTAGAAAGGTGATGGTATTATAGCACTTGTTAATCGACCGATGTTAGCATCTGGACCAAAGCTGTAAGCTGGAAACCCTCCATAGCCGGTGACAAAGTAGACAGAAGGAGGAAGAGGAACTCCTATTAACTCTGTGAGGTCAAGATGTCCTTTTGAGCCTCGTTCTGTAAAGTGTGTGAGAAAAAAACATGTTATTTATTCTTGAGGAGCACAGCCCATTTATTTTAAATTATTTAAGAAAGGCCTTAAAAACTGTAATGCAGTGTTGTAATACCAGTAACATACTTCCAATGGCCCCAGTTCAGTTAGTGCTTAAACACATCTAGCTAAGTACACGTGTCATTCTGTGTCCTTTGACTAACTGAGTTTGCTTGTATACTAAAGAAAGGCGTATGTAAACATTTGGTGAAATTGAGCAGTTACAAGTAGTTCCTGCAACATATATTTTACTTCAACTGTCCATAAACTACAAAGAAAAGTGCTGAATGTGCTTGAAGAGTGGATTCAGTGAGGACTGAGCAACCTTTTGTTTTCTCAAATAAACTGAAATCCTTTATCCTCAAAAACTAAGAAGACAGCAAGGGTTCTCTACAAACAACATAACACAGTTTCACAAATACAGGATAAAAACTACAGTGGATTTGCTTTAGCCCTTGCAGTTACCTGCTTCTACAACAGATGTTAGATTTTATTTATGCCTTATTCTCAGATTTATCTCCTTAGTTGCACTGTGTACATAACAAATACTATTCAGCAATCAAAATTCAGTTTTGAAATGGAAGTATTTTTGCTTTGGCAAGCAGAATTAAGTATCTCTCCCAAACGCACCCAGAGAGACAACTCCTTCAAACAAAGTACTAGGCTATGTCTTAATGTAGCTACATCATGCATAATCACTCGTAAACTGCAGTTCATGTCTAAATAACTGCTGGATTTCTCAGCATATATGAAAAAAGATCTCCATGATCCAAGAAAGTCAGATTTTTAAATTACTTTCTTGATCCAATGCATCCTCGCCTCTCTCTACAGTCTTCTTTGTTGAAAATCTTCAGATCCTGGGTAAAAGAGCAGATGTATTTGGAATCACTGTTTTGCAGTTCCTTTCTTTATCTACCTCACACATAACAGTGTACCATGGTTCTCAGATTATCAGATAAAAAACTAGTGTGGAAAACAGAGGTCTTGTGGTAGAACAGTACAGACGAGGCAAACAGCCTTGAAACCTCACTAAGAACAGATTGAATTTGTGTCTCATACTTCACTATTCCAGCTTTTACCACAGCAGGTGTAAATAACGTGTCTGGAAGAGTATTTGTGGCAGTGAGGTACTTCTTTGTACCTACACAGCCTGTCATCCACTAGGGCTCCCACTGCTAGTATTCCCAAGGCCCTTCTTTGTGATGACACTTCTGCATCAGGGAAGTTCCTTAAGATGACGTCCCCAGACAGCATTAAGCAAGGTTAGCGTGCTCTGTGGTCACTTAATTTTCAATGCAACATGGCGAGAACTGATGCCACCTATGGTGGTCTAACACTACAGGTATTTACAAGAGACAGGAGCTAGAACTAGCCTATCCTCTTAGAAGTACATTAGGGAGAACAGATATGAGTCAGTCCCCAGATCTGTTTTTTGAAGTATTTACAGAAGTTGAAAACAAGCTCCCAGTCTGCCTAAAGGTAAGCAGCAATGAGATACATGGAGCTGGTTCCTAGGTCAGTTTACCTGTTAAGGACCAAGTCATCCCCAGATTCTGATGCATTTCACCCTGAGATGACCTGCATTTTACCAGCAGCCCGTACACTTTGGTCACAGGATGAGCTGAAGTTTCCTGGTTGCTTATAAAACCATGGGATATACACATATAATTACAAAATACTTTTGCTTCAGAACTTGTAACACCTGGTTTCCTAGGATCTATGTCCTGCATCATTATTTCATTTCAGCTCAGTACATCCTACTAGCCTGGAATACCTCAAGTTCTTCCTCATGTGCATAGAGCCTATTTCTGCCTACAATACCTGTAGCAGGCCTACATCCCTCCCCTACCCCAGTATGTGCTAAAGGATGGTTCCAAGTGGCATGTATTTGTATTAGCTGACCAGTTCAGGCATGATAGTTGGCCATCAAGAAGGAGAAATTGGATAATCAACTTCACAGCTCTCACCATAGCTTCTTCTCATTAAGATACTAATATGCCACTCTCACATCATGAGGTTGGGGGTTGCAAGAACATAACAGGATGGGTGTCCATTACATGCTTACATGGAGAGTCCTCTGTTACAGGGAAGATGACTGAGAAAAGGAGAAAATTATCTTAGTGTGAGGAAAATCATACTGACAATGCCATCTCTTTGCCTACAGTCTAATCCCTCAAGGGAGACAGGGACCCCATGCTGGTGACTTGAAACAAAACCATACGAAACAATTAAAAATGACTGTAGAGAATAATTTCAAAGTTATCGGTTATAACATGACTTTTAATCTTTGTTCCATCATTTGTAAGCATTCTCAGGTCCCTCATAATGTATGTATTTTTGCAGTACGGATCAACGAAGTATCTTTCAATTTTTAAACTTAGTTACCATAACTGTAATAGCTACCTAGGCTGAATAAATCCAAATGAAATAGTAATGGAAAAGGTATGACAGTCCATCTGAATACCGCAAACAAAGTGAACTGAAAAACTTTGCTTAAAATACCTGATTAAAATCAGGCAAAATAAATGAATCTTGCACTTTGCTCTGAAACCTGGCAAGCTGGTTCTGATGAAGAGCTAGAGAGAGGTTCTTCAGCTGAAATATACTTCTGTTATTCATTATTCATATGAAGTACCATCCTGGGCTATGTGTTGCAAAGTGGTTTCCATTGTCCTAGTAGCTTTGCAGAGAAATGGTAAGATGTTCTCTCTGTGCCAAAGATGTTATAGTCCAGTTGAAATAAATTCTAATCTGTCATCTTCTCTGTACTTTAGCTTTGGCACTTACTTGTTAAGGGTACTCATTAACTGGAAAAAGTCTGATGAGCTCTATACAGAAACAATTTCCCTTATATATTTTTAGAAAGTATAGAAGAAAATCTCATGAATAGAACTGTAGTTTCCCAATTCCCATTCTCAAAGGAAAATTTGGGAAATGCAAAAAAGCCTGTTAATTCTCCCCACACAACATGTGGAGCTGCAGTCTAGTTGCAGTTTCATAGTGACATACCCAAGAGTAACATACTGAGCCCAAACCACTTGCTCTTTTAGCATAGGCTCTAAGACAAATGAAACATATTTGCAAAAGGTGGCAGCAAAAGACAGTAAAGAAGAATCAGGATTTTCATTTGAGTAAAACAAGTTAGAAGGCTCAGCAAAATCTGAACTTCAGTGAGACTGGGATAGAAGCCTGCACCTATCCACTACAGAAAAGCAAAACAAGAAGCTTCTAGCCAAATTCTGTGCTTACAGCTCATCCCCAACACTTAATGGATTTGTCAGGACCTACAGTTACAATTAAGAGCATAATATGGATTTACAGCCACAGATTTTGTTCCCATTCAATTATCTCTGATAAATTCATGTTCCCCCACTGCAGTTATGTTAGAATAAAAATGCCCCTCTTATTCCCTTAAATCAATAATAAATGCTATGCTATTTTAAGTACCTTTAAGCCAGCAGAGCACTATGTTACACCAGTATAAATTTCTCTCAAACATGTATTACTACTAAGCCACTGGATATTGGGGAGCATACAGAATTCATCTTGTTTATGTCCATGTTTCCTAGACCTGGGATACTGGAAGGTGTGGTACAGAAGGAGCTTTAATATCAGCTATATTTTATCTCAAAAAGTAGTAGAATACCATAAATTAGGATTTTTTTTTTACTGTTATGTTATAGTTGGAATTGTTATAGAATTTACAGATAGCTGGAGATTCCCACCGGGTAGCTTCAGGGACCACTTGAGAAGTATAAGTGTGCTGTAAAATCATCCTGTAAATCAATATATGGATTGTTTCAAGACTGCAGATGGCAATAGTATAGGTTTTTTTCTTCTTTTAATTATGCTTTTTGCAGGTAATTACCTCACTGCTTCACTACTGAAAATAATGTAACTGTAAAAACAACAAACCACCATTTCAGCATTGGAAGATAACTGGTTTCCCTACTGTGTCTTTAGCACAACAATCAATAACAGCGGAAAATCATGAAGCTCAAAATGGACTGGAAAAAAAAAGGACAAAGCTGTTTTGAAGCAGGTAGGAGATAAAGCGTTTATTCAACAGACAGAAAAGGATACCAGAAAGAAACATGATGTTGACAGTAGAAGGGCAGCAGTTGGAGAAGTTCCTAAAACCAGAGTTACCAGTATAGAAATGGGATTCATGGGACCCGCTTTGTAACTGCAGCTGTAAGTGACAGATATTGTGACTTAACCCCTGGTGCTCATCTGACCTCAAAATGGCACTACTTTTCTCCAGATCACTGTCAAGTATGTGTAGCACAAGAGAAACATACCTCACCTTCACCCCACACCAACTAGGCAGGGTGGAATCGCAAACCTGTGGGATCCAAAACACTTTTCCACTGCTCACAAGGCATGAAGTACAGAGGAAAGGAAAAAACCTACCTGCTTGAAGGTCTATTACATTTGCTTTAATTGTTAAAGTACAAAATCAGTATTTATATCTTATAAATGGGAATGGAGGCACAGGAAGGCCCAGATTCATATAATTTAGCTTATTATACCCACCTGTAACTGTTAGGTTAGGAGCCTTCTTTCAGGTGTCTTCACAGAAAGAGGGCAGAGAGTAACCAGTGATACCAAAAGGCAATTTGCTCCAACCTAAGAGCTTCCGGAGGCATGTCACTCTCTCATAATCTAGACACACAGATTTTTATCTTACCCTTAAAGGAAAGGGACCTGAGTTCAAGTACATGGATACAGATGAAGGACATACCAAAGGTCAGGATATATCTGTACTATATAATTGAGAGCAGTAGTAAAGATCCCTGAATCACTGAAAGAACACAGATAAAAAAAAAAATGCTTGGTCATTTTAGGTGGGGCACAGACACATTTTAAAGTATAATTTAAGTTCACCCAGTGTTTCCCTCTGTTCCTCTTCAGACACTCTTTTCTATAGAGCTACTGTCCATAACCCCGTCCCATGCTTGTAAAAGCCCATGTGCTCCATGGCGGTTGGATTTGCATTCTGTGAAAGAATGCCTTGTGCCTCTGCTGTTCACTGCTGCACATGCCTTGCTGGCAGCTTCTTTTCATGTTCTTTTAAGGCAATGGGATAAAAGCAATATTCTACGAAGGCTTTCAAAACCAGACCAGGCTAAGAGCAGCCAAAGTCAGGCACTTCTGTGTCTGTAAACTTGAGCTAAGCTGACCATGTTTATCTGTCCTCTTCCAGTCCAAATAATCACAAACCTAGGTTGTAAGCTCCCTTTCCAGCAGGGTAGATAAACCATCTGTGTCTCAATGGCGCAGTGCACAACCTATGTTGTCTCTACTCTGCATTCAGAGAAATGCTGTAACTGTAATAGAACATTATTTTATACTGGATGCAGTTGTGAGGTACAGTAAGAAAATTCTTCCCTGCTGCCAAACTGTATTTATTTTGCAGTTAACAAGAAATATTTATAGCAATAACATAAGCAGAGAAGGGTTTTCACATCTACAGAATAAAAGTTAATCAAGTACTGCAAAGGGAAAAATAAGGGAAATATTTTAACACAGTCCCAGATCTGCTACATGGAATAGAAGAGGCTAGCGTCATTGCTGCTCTCAGGAAAAACAGCATTTACTCTGCTTACCTAGCTTGACACATTTCTAGCTGCCATTGATACGCTATTGGAAAACATGGATAGAATATATTGGTGTTAAAGGCTGGAGCATTTTCTTCCAGATGCCTAAGGAAACCTCAGAAGCTCTTTTTAGTGGAGTTGCACACCCAAAAGTAAGGCTGCAGTCAATAGGACATGCAACATCAGGCCCAACATTCTTTTGTGCAAACTGTTTTCCAACACTTTCTGCTAGCTCACACTTTTACATCATTATTATTCTGCCCTCTACTGGATAAAAATGCATGTAGTTCGCATACCTAAATGCAGTTAATTAAATATGCATCTATATTGCACAAAATAGTCCTCCTTTTTTTCCATCTTATCTTGTTTGAGAAACTTTATTTCATTACAATGCTTTCAAACTAATCAGCAAAAACATTTTGTCCTCCATACAAGTCATTTTTTCAGTTTTTCTGATCTAATACTGGACTATTTTCTTATTGTTTTGTTAGGTGCTTGTCTAGAAGATATTCCATATATATTTTTGTGCACATGGATTTTTGTATATAAACCCAAGGCCTTTCACTCAATGAACTGTTCTCCTTTAGTGAGAAAAATCTGTGTTTAAAACACATCCGTTTCTTTGAGCCACAACAGTATATAATATCAAGTATAGCATAGACGTTAGTTATTGTCCTTCTTTCCTCAGAAACAGATGAGAGGCAAAAGTGGGAAATATTCAGCAATTCAACTACAGTGGTGTGGCAAAGCTAACTGGGCTGTTAACCAGAAAGTCAATAGAGTGAAAACCATCCATTGTCTGCTGCATGATCTAGGGCAACCTTATGGCCCAGGCTACATTTAAGGTCAAACAATCACAGTGACCTGCCTAATTTTATAATAATGAACAACTGCACCTATACGTGTGTGGGCATATATGTGACTGTAAAGCAAAAGAATGAACTTATGGACCTGGTACATCCCCAAATGATCAGCACAAGAAAAAGGAATAATCTTTGAAGGGATACCTTTCACGGGTAAATAAATGGTTCAAAAGGT